TATACCTATTGAAGTTTCTGCAAATCTCACAGACAAGAAGCGTCATATCCCGATTCTATCAAGGGCCAATATTATTTCTAATGAAATGCAAACACAAGGGGTATCAAACGCCTCAGACCTCGCCAGCTCTTTCATTTCCCTCCGCTGCCATTGCTTCTCTTTCATCAAGCGTCAACTCACTCTTAGCCTCTCGGATTCGCACGAAGAAAGCGACAATAAGAAGACCCAGTATCGCGAGTCCTGTTTGGTACCAAAAAACAGCCTTGTAGCTGTCCTTAGTACCCAACTCAGAAGTCTGGGTCTGAACAATATCCGCGAAACCAAGCATCACGGCGATTCCCATGTGCAGGGTGCAGTTGATCAATGCACCAGCTAAGCCTTGCCTTGCTTTTGGAAGGTTGGTCGTAATGAAGACATTGGCGAGATTGAAGCTGATGTCAATGCCGACTGTTCCGCATATCATCGCCGGGAATACGAAAGCCCAGTAATTTCCGCCAATGGGGATGACGGCGAAAAATAATCCAGAACCCACGTAGCCAAGACATGATATCAGCATCAGTATCGTTCCTGGGACTTTGTGGAAGATCATTCCTCCTCCGACTGAGAGAATAAGACCACCGACTCCCATAGGCACAGCCCATGCCACGATCTGCATTGGCGAAGCACCCATTATGTCAGACATGCTATAGATGTTGTCAGTAAAAATTCCAGTCTGAGCAATGCCACCAGGATATAACTCACTAAAGAACGGCATAGAGTAGAAATATGCCCAATGTGCCGTAAAGAAATAGCAGAGCGATGACCAGAGGCAGCATATACTTGACTCGGAAGACGTCGCCAGGCAGAAGAGGGTTTTTCACGACCCATCCTTCCACATAAACCATGGCTCCGAGGAGAATCAGCCCAAGAACGAGGAACAGAGGGATATATGGCGTTTTCCATCCTTGGGGCGCGTAGGAGCTGTCCGCAATAGAAAAAACAATGAACACAGCCGCCGGGATGGACAGGCATGCACCAGGCCAATCCATCTGGACACCCAGTTTTCTCTTCTCGGAATAATCACGCGGAATGGAGAATAGTGACAGAACTGATGTGATGGCGGAGAGAATTGCTCCGAAGAAGAAGTACCATCTCCAGGTGAGATATTCACCAGCGAGTCCGGAGAAGAAAATTCCGACGAAGAAACCTAGCGCTGCACATGCGCCATAGATACTGAAGACGATATTCTTTCTTGGTCCTGGTCTGTAGGTGCTGCCAAGAACCATGATTCCGGATGGAAGAAAAGCGGCCAGAGCAAAGCCCTGCAATGCTCGGCAAATGATCAACATCAGCCACGTTTGGGAGACACCGCATAAGATCGACGATACGGTGAGCCAAATAGCGCCCCCGCTATAAATGATATACCCGCCGAACATGTCGGTTAATCGGCCGAAGATTAGGAGCGTCGATGTCACGACCAGCGATAATGCGGTAGACGGCCATATCGCCGAGGCTTCGGGAAGATCCAGTTCCTTGACGAGCGTTGGAAGGAGGACATTTGAGCCTGAGATGTAGTATTCCTGGTAAAATGTCAGAATTTTTCCTCGTGGTGTAGGACCATCGTCGATGACTTACTGCAAGGATCTGGGACATGAAAATTGAGAGACAGAAAGAAATTTCTGACCAAGGGCCACGGAAGCACTTTGGGCGCTCTCTTCCCAATCTTTCCAAATCGGCGGTCTCTTGGTTTATTCTGGCCTGCTCCGGATCATGTGGCATGGCCTCATTGCCGGGGTCAGGAGCTTCTGGCGCTCCCATGATGCTCTGTCAGAAGCGTGCGTCTTTTGTCGGTGTTGGATTACGAGTGAGCAGTGCACCATTGTAGGTGTGGTGCTGCAAAAGATTTTTATAGCCATGTCTAGGTGCCCAGGTGGTGCGCCTCGGGAGTCGGTGGCTATTTCTAAGCGATGACGCCCCAGCAACTACAGGCTACCAGACCCAGTATAATGACTATCTGATGAATATTGCCCGTTTCTAGAAGACCACTAGAAATTTTTGGCACGGGGGAAGTATGATGATTTGTGGATGAGAATGGATTCCGGGGTGCTAAATCTCCTCGCCAAGACTTCTACTTTGGGCTTCCTTTTTAGGAAGTTGTGAGGAGTGGGGCTGACGAAATCGGAGGCGAGACACCTGGGCAGGTCCACGGGCTGAGCATTGGCCTCATTATTCAGGGGCTTCTCATATTGGACGTCTTCAGGGTTCATCCATAAGGAATTTATGCAATGTCTTGGTGTCAACGTGTATTCCTGGAAGATGTTGGGCTCGATATTTCACTGCCCAGCCAAGTTCGTTTTAACGTCTTCCAACAGTCAAATACACAGTCTCTTCTCCTAAAATAATAGTACAAGCCAGCGCTGCCTTCATTCTATTCTAAATTAGGATATAATTCGATATAATTCCACCGACATTATAACAAAAGTAGCTTTGATGAACGTAACAATAACGACAATCTATAACATTCTTGGCACGGCCCTGATATGTTCAGCCACATGGTTGGCCCAGCTTTGTTAGATCGTAGATTTGCTTATTTCTGGCTTCGCTGTTAGGAATTTCTTCTGCATATAGTTCCGAAAATGACATATCATATGCGCGCACGTGCCTCTACCCCGCGGAATACATACGCAGCTTCCATGTTGGAAAAGATACGTCATTAAAACAGGGGTCCACACGTGGGGCGTGACCACGAGGCTATCGAATGTTACGTCTGGAGATTAAAGATACTAGATCACTCGAGATTCATTCCACGCAAGATCATCAACAGTTGCTACACTAAGGACGTCTTTAATCCCACCACACCTTTTGCGACTTATGTTCTAGCTCCTGTGCGGCGATCGCCAGTCTTCCTACGTAAATCGTGGGAAAGTTCAAGTGGATTCTGATACTATTCAAAGGCCAACTGCGTCCGCCGGTTTTGCATTACGGGTATTCATTCCGAGGTATAGCATGTATCGCCCTGTTAGTATGGTTGACTGCCATGATGCCATTTTCAAACTTTCCTCAACGGCATGTTGCAGTGTCAAATCACTACCTGTAGTGTTGTTTGTTTAGAAATTCTAGTAAGGTGACTGGCAAGTGGTAGACTTATTCTTGGGACCAATTAAAGTTGACACGATCGGAGCATATTCCCTCTGACCGGAAATGACAGAGTCATACGCATTTTGTCCAACTAGACCTTCGTAAGCATGGAATTATAATATTAGTTAGAAGGAAACTGAAACATACTTGGTACGACAACCTGCGGCGCACCAATCATTTATACAACAAAGATAGGAGAGTAGGGTCGTTTGCCACCACTCCTAGTAAACAGTCATTATCCTTGATAAATCAAGCAGTCGTTCACATTCAACAGAAGTCACTCACGTTCCAGGGGTGCCATCTCTGTAGTTTGCTCCAGGGCGTCCTTGAGGCACAATCATTATCCTCCTTGTGTCTTTCTGACTTACCCTCCACACATTCTCTTCGAATCATGATTTGAATATTTCTATCTTCTGCATGGATTCTTGGCGGTTTTCTGCTGAGACGGACGCACCATCATCCCTATCCTCGCGGTTAATAAATGTCAATCTCGCCGTGAAACAATCTGAATTTTACCATCTTTCTTTTTTGCGATGGACTCAGATACGGCCTTTTACCAAATTTCTCAAAGTAATCACGGCGGAATTCGTTGAAGGCGTGGCATCCATCAAAGACACTCACAGCACCAGGAGCCTGTGGTTGAGAATGTAAATATTAGCCGGCGGTCTGATCTAGTACCTTTGCAAGGCTTACACCATGAAGGAAATCAGACAGGGTCTGATCATGAAGATCCTGAGGCGCTGTTTACGACCAGAGTTCAATGGTGAAATGGGGACCCGAATGTAATTCTCCAGGGCTGTGAGGAACTCTTCAATCATATGCTTCTGGTTGACGTTGTCGCATGGAAACCAGTCCGTAGGGTAGATAATCTCAGTTGGCTAAGAACGCTTAGCTCTTGATCAAATATGACGATGGAGTGGGTATGATTTCGAAGACAATAGGAGCTCTTGAATCATAGGCGATGACCTGGCCAGTATTCCGATTGCGTCAAACGCCCTTTTACAATATTAATATATATTGTAGATCTTTCAAAAGAAGAAACGTAGAAGGGAAGGGGTAGAAAGCGTGGACGTACTGGACAAAGGGGACTATATTTCCCATTGGCAAAGAGTCCCAAGTGGCTCTGTGGCCCTAGGTGCCGTGGGATGAGGCTGGATTGCGCATACTTCCGGTCGCTTTGTTATATAAATGTCAGTCATCTCCAACTCCCTAATTGAAGTCGTCTGGTTCTGTACTATCCGTGCACAGGGAGATATCAACCCAAGGATATCCTGCGACCGAGGCCGCCGCACCACTGGAGCTCCCTGCTGGACCCTGTGGAAATAAGATTTCCCACCTGCAGCTGGAACCTTGGAACGTGCGTGGTGGATTGGCTGGTGACTCCAGTTCGAAATAATAAAGAAAGCGCACTTGAGGCTTTGAGCATTGAGGTGCAATTCCATATACTCAAATCCCACTATCACTTCCAACACACACCACTGATGACTCTTTTTTACTTCCTCCTTTTTTCCATGTCGGCTGAGAGATATACATGCATAACTCAATCTATGCCTACGACGTACGGCATAGGTAGTCGTTCTACGCGGCAATCTAGACTAGGAAATCTGAATAAGCCCATTTCTATTTACATCCTTGATGAAGAAATTGTGAAATCAATTTAGATGCCACAAATGCCGAGGACTATTGCAATCATGCCAAAACACATCTCGTCTGCCAGATAGTAACCTCGTATACGGGGTTTCCCCTTTCGGAATCTTCGATGGCGATCAATCTCATCAATGTAACATCCAAAATGGGAGTTCCCAAAGTGTACATAAACCCCGAGTGGTTCTATATAACCAATGATAGCCACTAGTTGGACAGCTTAAACAGCCTCAATCAAAATGAAGTTGTCCACACAACTTCTTCCTTTCTTCCTCGCTCTTGCGACTTCAGCTTCGGCTGCTTCCCCAAGCGATCTCCAAGCGCAAATTGGACACCATGTCATCTACTCTTACCCCGGCCTCGAGCCACCAGCCCATCTCCTCAACCTGATCACTGAAGGCAAAGTCGGCGGTATCATCGTCTTCGGCGAAAATGTCAGCGACAACCTAACAACTACAATCGACAACTTCCAGAAGACCTATAAGCAGAGTCCGTACTATTCAGGCAGTCCTTTGTTCATCATGACAGACCAAGAAGGCGGCAAAGTGCGTCGATTGCCCGGCGGACCAGTTCAGAGCGCTAAGCAAATCGGCCAGGCCGCTGACCCAGAAGCGGCAGCGACACAGATGGGCAAAGATGCCGCGAGCACCCTAGAAGCATTCAAGAACAACGTCAATCTAGCGCCCGTATTGGATGTTTATCGCGAGGCTGGAGACTTCACCGATGCCTTTCAGCGCTCTTTCAGCAACTCAACCCGCGTCGTTGGAACATGCGGGTCGGCATTTATCAGCGCGCAGCAGTCGGCTGGTGTGGTCGCTTCCGCGAAGCACTTCCCTGGCCTTGGTGCACCAGGCGCAGATGAGAACACGGATCTGCGGCCCGTTACCATTGACTTGACCATCGAAGAGCTGCGCAAGGTGGACATGGCACCATATACCAAGGCGATCGCGGCAGGCGTAGACATGATCATGGCTTCTTGGGCTATATATCCTGCTTTGGACACGACGTACCCCTCCGGGCTGAGCAAGGCTATTATTCAAAATGAGTTGCGGGATAGGCTTGGCTTCAAGGGTGTCACTATCACCGATGCTGTTGAGGCCGGAGCGCTAGAGGCATTCGGCGATCAGGCTGCTCGTGGGTTGTTGGCTGCACAGGCTGGTATGGATATCTTGCTTGCGTCTAAGAGGGATGTCACTCAGGGAGAAGATATATATAATGCTCTGTTTGCTGCGTTGCAGGATGGGTCGTTGGACCAGGATGCATTTTCTGCTGCAACCCAGAGAATCCTGGAGGCTCGGAAAAAGCTTGTTTAGATAGTTGACAGTTTATGTGTTATTACCTTTTGGATAGACCGAAGCTGTATTGTCCATTACATTTGAACTGAGAAATCCAGTCATATGTCTCGTCGAGTCTCTTAGTGGAGTCTTGAAGTAACGCCGAGAATGGTGGCCAATTGTGACACTTCCCCAGCTGTAGTAACTTTGCATGCCACTCACCATCTAAGCCTCCACGTGTACCTAGGCCGATCTTGGCTTGTCCACGTCAGGGGCAGAACTTTATTCCCACTCCAGATACCGCCAATTCTACCTACAATGGCTAGCCCTATTCAAATCACTCATGTAAATTAACCCTTAATAATTGTCACTGATACAGCCCACAGCAAATTTTGTTACCACATATACTAGGGGCTCTTGACACGCGCAAATTCGTTGATGCTCGATACATCTGCGTAGGAAGGGTGATTTTTATAGGACATATACTTCTTTTGATCTTGGTGATCTGGCCGATATGGAACAAGATTCAAGGCTGCTCACTCATATGCCATTTGATTAGAATTTTATTCGCACTGCAACAATCCGCCACCAAATGCCATTTTCAGACAAAAATATGATCGTAAAACGATCAAAAAATGACCGACGCAGGGATCGAACCTGCAATCTCTTGATTCGTAGTCAAGCGCCTTGCCATTGGGCCAGCCGGCCTGCTATGTATAATTTCGGGAGAAATACCCCTATGAGCGAGAACTACGTGGGACCCACTCTCCCAATGCATCTTCACTCCCACTGGGGATATCTATGTTGTATTGTCATTGCAGCTGACCTAAATTTTACTTCTTTAAGTATATATGACTACTCTTATGGTAGAAAGATTGCCTCTTTTGCCTTGGTTGATATGGATGTCCCCACTTTACACATAAATTCTTCATGTCACAATAATCAGGACCATTATATATCTTATCATCCAGCCCATAAATAAGATGCCCGCTACCAGCTGACCGGTACAAAATATCCAACGCCTATTTAATATTACTTTCCAACCTTACGGGTCTACATCAACTCCGGTAAAGCGCCAATGGGAGTTCAGATATTTCCTAGTCAAGTCACATAGATGAACTAGGGTCGTATGGAAGTGGAATTTATACGAAGTACGGAGTACTCCGTAGCAATAAGTATACCATACGTTAGCCTTACCACACAGAACGCTGGTGTAATGAGTCTGGTAGCCCACATAGTTTGCTAACGGCGTCAAATAGCCTTTCACTAGTTTAGCGACAGAGACATGGAAGGAAAACTTCATCACGTGCCACTATGTGCTTGTTTGCTCCTATAATACTAGGAGTAACCATAGTGAATTTTATATTTATAGGTATAGTGCCGAGACCAAACACAGCCCGCAGCAACGTACAACTAGACCAACATTGTTCTGGTGTGAATATGTGAATAAACACCAACTAATAGATACCTGCCTTTCACACGGCTTCATGGGGCCCACTATTCTAGGTTTCACGTTGCATACGGAACGTATGTGCCGATAGAGTAGCGCTAAAGGTCCTAGGCTTCAACAAGACCTGTGAGTTACGGCTTTTGGGTCGTGCGATATCCCGGTATCGGGGCTTCCTAAGAGCCCAGCGAAATGAGTACGAAGTACAAAGTCGTACCTTACGATTTAGCGTATTATAAGAGAATCGAGGGATTAAAGCAGACCTATAATATCCATAGTGCAGCAACTGTGACCAGTCCCACAGGAACTAGTTGGTTTTATAATAATTTCCGGCGTGCTACTCCGTGCTCCGTACACATATCCCAGGCGGCTATGTCCTTTCACAGAGCTTAAACGACATAGATCAGTAGGTGCTTAAAGTAACAGTGTATATCAGGATCGGAGCATAGCAAAAGATTGACTCGGGATTGGTTGGGAAGCCACAATAAGCCACAATAATGAAAATAATGAAGCTCCGATCCAATGGGAGATTTCCCGTAGGGCTAGGCCGATCAAGTCCACAGGAGGTGGGCCCCAGTGGTTCTTTGGGATCAAGCTGTGGAGATACAAAACAAGCGAAATTTGCTCTGAATCTAGATCGAAGCAAATCTCTTTGAGACATATGCGAAATTGACTAACAAAAGTAGCAAAATAGGTGAAAGAAGTGCAAGAGGTGTCGCCACCGCGGACCAGACCGGAGGTGTTTCCGCCCTGGCCGTTTTAGCTCCACTGCGTCAGTGGCCTTGATCGGTTTATTTTTCATCCCTTCAGCCCCTCCTCTAAATCTCTGTCATTCCCTTTTCTCTACCATTTCCATTCCAGATTCTCTGTATCCTACAGCTTATTAGCAACCTACACCTTTTATTCTGCGGAGCTCCGACCGAGCGCGCCGCAAACCCCAAGCCACCATCATGGGGCTGTCCAAAACGAACAGGATCTTGATCCTGCTGGTCATCGATACAGCGTTTTTCTTGCTTGAACTAATCACTGGTTTGTATTTTGACGGATTGATTGCATGCGACCGGGTTCTGACAATGATTTCCTAGGTTATGCCGTCCACTCCCTTGCCCTTGTTGCCGATTCCTTCCATATGGTACGCTGCCATCTACGATCTTGCCCCTCGGCTGGAACTAACCCCAAATAGTTGAATGATGTCTTATCATTGTGTGTTGGATTGTGGGCTGTGAAGGTCGCAAACCGGGAGACCACCTCCAACACCTACACCTATGGCGTAAGTTGATGGCTAACCAGCCCCGAAGGACGATCTGACAATTGGATTTCTCTATACAGTGGCAACGAGCGGAGACACTTGGTGCGTTGGTCAATGGCGTGTTCCTAGTCGCTCTGTGCATGTCGATTTTCTTGGAGGCGACGCAGCGATTGTTTGAACCCCAGGAAGTGCAAAACCCCCGGTTTGTTTGCATTGTTGGCTGCTTCGGCCTAGCTTCCAACATCATTGGGTTGGCGCTATTCCATGACCACTCCCACGGACCCGGTGGCGGCCACGAGCACGGCGATAGTCACGAGCACGATGAACACGACCATGACATCGAGGCTGGTGACCATGACCACACACCGATCGCCGACCAGAGTGAGAGCATGGCGGGGGCTACTGCTGGCTATGGCAGACCCGCAAGCTTGCCTCAAATCTCCTTCACCAACAATGGCACGGACCAATCCCGAAAACGGCGCGATACCCAGACCCGCGGCTCAAGGAGATACAGCACTTCAAATGGACGCGGATTCGTGAGCCCCGAAGATATTCCCGTACTTCCTGAGAGACTGAGACAAGGGATTATCGCAGCTAGCCAATACCGGAATGAACAATCGTCGGATTCGGAGAATGGCCATGACGAGGATGAGATCCCATCTGAGCGCTCAGGTCTTCTGAGCCACCGGGATCGAACTACCAACTACACCGACGAGGAAGGAGCTCCGACTAAGGTCCACGACCACCGCGATGAAGATGTCCACAAATCTCACAACCATGCTCAGCCCAAGCCGAAGGACCATAAGAAGGGTCACAGTCACGACCTCAACATGCGTGGTGTCTTCCTCCATGTTATGGGAGACGCCCTTGGAAACATTGGTGTGATCGTTTCCGCGCTTGTTATCTGGTTGACGGACTACAAATGGCGCTTTTACGTCGATCCAGGCATTTCCCTCGTCATCACATTCATCATTCTTGCATCCGCCATTCCGCTGTGCAAAGCCGCCTCGCGTATCCTTCTCCAGGCCGTGCCCCCTGGTATGAGCATTGATCATATCAAGGAGGACATTGAGCGCCTTCCCGGTGTCATTGGTTCACACCACCTGCACGTTTGGCAACTAAGTGACACCAAGATTGTGGCTTCGATTCATCTCCAGGTAGACACTGAGATCAAGGGCGAAGGATCAGAGAGGTATATGCGTCTGGCCAGACAGGTGAGACGCTGTCTCCATGCCTATGGTATTCACTCTTCGACTATCCAACCCGAGTTCGCACCGGAAAGTGATGTCGAAGACAATGGACAAGGATCATCTCGGGACACTGACGTTCCCAGTCGTGCTGCCAGTGTTCGGGAGGGTGACCCTCAAGCGTGCCTTCTCGAGTGTGACACGGACTGCGCCCGAGGAGGCCAGTGTTGCCCCCAAAAGTGAACTTAACTCCCTCACGTGGTGTCTTTCAACGCACATTCGTGTCGCGTTCGGTACCATGACCTCCAAATTCTCACCCCTACGGTTTTTTCCTATCCAGATACCCTATCTTTTGTCTTCGCCTCTCTATCCGGGCAGGTTTACAGAGACCTGCGCTCCTCATTCCCATATTAATTGTCTGGTTTTGGAAGTGGTGGTCTCCCTTGGGCCAACCAGATTTTGGGAAATGCCTGGCATGGCAACGCATGCCATGCAATATCATCCTATCTCCGGATATAGACCCGCTGACCCGCTGTATCCTTTCGATCGTATTTGTTATGTACTTCTACTATCTCTAATTCAAAACCTGCGAATCAGCCTTGGAAATCTACCTGTGTTGTAGGTACTCGTATTCCGAGTAGACAATGTGCTTGTTAAGGGTGAACACGTGACCGCCCCATGTCTGGCGATCGACACATCTCGACCCGAAGCTTAAAACGATTGCCAGTTCTGCAAATCCCCCTGTCTTAAACTTGAACACCATGTCATGAACTCTTTCTTTTCTTCTTCTTTTTTTTTTTCCATATACTTCACCCTTCATTCTTTTTTGGTTCTTTTCGGTCGTATGCGCAGAGCATGACCAGTCATTCCTTTCTTTGAACATAGCCCCGTCTTGTCCGGGGTCGAGCCACTCTGTCACTTAATCTAGCCTTGCTGCAAGCTAAGTCAAACATGACATTCGCCTACCCACGCAACTCGGGCGCTTCTTCCCTTCCCTCTTTCAACCAATATAAGCCGTCGAGATCGCCAACTATCCTCAGTCGCGTGTGGGACAGCATTCCCCAAGCAGCGAAACAATGGCTTCCTGGGAGTCTCAGCCGGGGAATTGGTAGAAAGTTGGAGAGTGAGGGGATTAAGGCAACAGCTATCAGCCTTGTCAAATGTATTCTTACGACATCAAATGCCATTATTTTGCTGTGGATGCTCTCAATTCGGTGGGGTGAACGGACGGTATTCCAGGACAGCATCAATAGATGCCTTTGGGACAACTGGGAGGAATGGGTAAGTTGGTGGCACATCACCGCAATTCAGTTCGCTTGCCTTAGCTAGTACTAACGGTTGAATGTCTCTAGCCTCAAGGCGCCACGCCGCACCATATTGTCTTCATTGCCGACCCCCAACTCGTTGATCCCCACACTTACCCCGGTCGACCATGGCCTTTGTCGACGTTGACGGTCAAATACACAGACCAATATATGCGACGGTCATTTTCCTTGATACAAGATTACCTCGAGCCGGACTCAGTGCTGTTTCTTGGCGATCTTTTCGACGGCGGTAGAGAATGGGGCACGGCTACAAGTAGCAGCCCCGAATCGCAGTACAAGAGGTATACAGACTCCTTTTGGAAGAAGGAGTACGTGCGATTTATTAAAATTTTCGTGAACGGATGGGAGAAATTAGTGAAGCCACCTGTCGATGGACGAGGGCGCAGAATGATTGCTAGTCTACCTGGCAATCATGATCTTGGGTTTGGTAACGGCATCCAGGAACCAGTCCGTGATCGATTCGAGTCCTTCTTTGGAAACCCCAATCGTGTTGATGTTATTGGGAATCATACTTTCGTTTCAGTGGACACTCCCTCGCTGAGCGCGATGGACCAGCCTGATCCTTTGACGGGCAGTTCTCCGACAGCCAACGATGAAAACCGTTCCCTCCGCCCGATCTGGAAAGATGCAGATGACTTCCTGGATAAGATGGCTATCTACAAGGCGAAGGCGGAAACGGACGAACTGCGGATGCTGCAAAACCAGACTGAGGGGCATAATATATTCGATTATCGGGTTGTCGACGCTGTCGAACCCGTCGTCCATCAAAAGGCTCAACCAGCAGGCGTTGGCCTTCCTACTATTATTCTCACACACGTCCCTCTCTACCGCAAGCCAGCCACTCCCTGTGGTCCTCTCCGCGAACGCTACCCGCCTACTTCATTGGACGGGGAACTGGCTGAGGACGAGCCTAACTCTCTGAGAATTGCCGGAGGCTATCAGTACCAGAATGTCCTAACACAAACCATTTCCACCGAATTGGTTTCCAAGGCAGGACCCAACGTCGTCCAGGTGTATTCCGGTGACGATCATGACTACTGTGAAGTGTTGCATCGGGAATTCAACGGCTCGCCCAACGAAATCACTGTCAAAAGCTTTTCCTGGGCGATGGGTGTCCGCCACCCGGGATTCGTACTCACCAGTCTGTGGAATCCGATCGACCCCAAGACAGGCAAAGCCATCCAAGACGGCTCACCACCCACTATCCAAAACCGCCTCTGTATTCTCCCAGACCAGTTGGGAATCTTCATCTACTATCTCACCATCCTAGGCCTCAGCTTCTCCATCCTCCTCCTCCATTCCATCTACCGCGTCCTCTACACTCCCGAACCATCTCCATCCGGCGCCATTCTCCCCCTGTCCGAGCGGCGCTCCCTCCCACACCACCAGTACCACACCTCCGGTGCGTCCAGCTCCACCCTCTCATCAGCGGGTGGTTTAGCCAGCCGAAATGGCATGGCAACCTTCACCCGCTACCCCGGCACTAAATCCCCGCAAGATGCTTATCGGGGTACAGACGAGGACTTCGGAGCCGTCGCCTCAAAGGACAAGGCTGCATGGCGCCCCGCCTCGGCTTCCCGCCCCCGCTCGACGGTGTCTCTCATCGTCCGGGATCTGTACCACTCCGTCAAGTTTGTGGCGCAAATGGTGCTGACTGTGTATTTCATCCTGATCTGGCGCTGGTAGCTAGTCCGGCCAGTCTTTTTTCTTTTTCTTCAGCGAGCATAAACATAATAGACAAGCATTTCGCCTCAACGTCCCGAATTGGTGTACTCCTAGTTTCTGATACGATCGTGTGATCTATTCCCAGCACTAACCTCGTGATACATAAAAATAGGGAAAAAAGTAGAATGGGCTCGAGCCGACGCCTTCGTTCTCGAGTTACGCCACTTCTCGCCAAAATCTTGCCAAGGTCACCGGCATTGACCGGCATCCCTGCAGTGCGATACCGATTCAGCTACCCACAGACCTCGGGGGTCTCCGATAATTCCCCGTGAGTGGTTACGTCGGGATAGCTTCGGGTAGTCCGTCCAATCCCCGACTCGGGAAAAATGGCGCAATGTACGGACCATCCACTTGTTGAGTTTGCCCCGGCAGTCTTGGCATTGCATGTCCTCGGAAAAGTGAAACGACTGAATGGGGAAATTGATCTTTCCATACTTTTTTCTTCCCAATCTGGCTCCGGTGAACAGTGAACAGATCATGACATCTTCGATTATTGGTTATGAAAATCTCCCCTACTCCGTACGGAGTACTCCATACAGGTCTGGGGAAAATTTGGGTCTGGGGATGAGTGGAAAAGATGGGGGAAATTCAATCGAATCTTCGAAATATCTGTTTCCAGGGCCTCCAACTATTGTATGCGCGTAATTTACATATGTAATATAATCCACTCTACACCCATATCCAAGACCAAGCCAATTTAACATCCCGTAAAATTACATAATGTGAAAAAAATAATCAGAAGCCGTTGCCATGCCCCCGATGCGGGACGCCGATACCGATCGGCATTGGCTCAATTCGGTCCCCCCTGTTTTCGGCCTGTCATGTGGTATGTAATGGCTATTTCCGTCCCGTATTCCTAAGACATGTGCTCACACTGGAATAGCTTAAATCGCCACAATCCGATGCGAGACTACGTACATTTCCGTATCCTCGACGTGTTATTTCGTCGATCCTTCTGTGCTAGGCAAATACAACGCAGGTCGCAAAGCAAGTGTAAGGTAAGGTTCAGGGCAAGAAAGACAAATAAGAAAAACTCGGTTCAGGCGTCGAGCCAATTTGTGTTGGGCCAATGAGCAGCCCGGTAGAGTCCGGGGGCTGAGCCGCTAAACCGAATTAGTTTCTCCAGTTTCGGTCTAAACTCTATCCCCAGGCCCAAAGCATCCAGAAATCCGTGGAAATGGGGAAAATGCTATTCTCGGATTGGACAAGACTAGGATTTTTGGCCTCCCAGGGCCCCGCGCTGTTTTCGGCCGGGGTTTTGTTGATTGCAATTTTCCCCCGGTCTTCCAAGGTCGGGGCCATGTGGTTGAGAATTTGGGGGACTGGGGAAGTACAAATAGAGGGGACTGGCCTCCAGGGTTTTCGTTTCCCTTTTTGTTTGTATATTTTACTCTACTCTTTTCAACCTTTCTCCTTTCTCTCTCATACCACTCTTCTCTACTACATCTTCTCTATACCTATATAGCACGTACACCTACTTGGATTGAACTTGCTTCTCTCTGATCACACTTACAATGGGCTTCGCTTTGAAGAGGCCAGATGATGCCGTGGGCTCTGCTGCCCCGGCTATTCTGATTGGATTGTTTGTTGCATTCGGTGGTGTTCTTTTTGGGTATGTGCCACTCCAAACCTCTATGCTCGTATTCTCAAAGACAGGTCTGACAGCCATCTAGATATGACACAGGTACCATCAGCGGTATCCTTGCTATGCCAAAATGGCGAGAAATGTTCTCAACTGGCTACATCAACGAGAAGGATCACATGCCCGATGTCACATCGGAGCAATCATCAATGATTGTCTCTCTCCTCTCGGCGGGAACTTTCTTCGGTGCCCTCGGGGCTGCCCCCATCGCTGATTACTTCGGTCGACGATGGGGTATGATTTTGGAGTGTGTCGTCTTCGTCTTCGGAGTCATCCTCCAGACCATCGCAACATCTATCCCCCTCTTCGTAGCCGGCCGTTTCTTCGCTGGTCTGGGTGTCGGTCTCCTGTCCGCAACAATCCCTCTCTACCAGTCCGAGACCTCGCCCAAATGGATCCGTGGTACAATCGTCGGCGCCTATCAACTCGCCATCACAATCGGTCTCCTGCTGGCCGCCATCGTTAACAACGCTACCAAGGACCGTGATGACACCGGCTGCTACCGTATCCCCATCGCTGTCCAGTTCGCCTGGGCCATCATCCTCGTTGTCGGCATGCTGATCCTCCCCGAAACCCCTCGCTTCCTGATCAAGCAAGATCGCTACGAGGAAGCCACCAAGGCCCTCGCTCGTCTCCGCCGCATGGAAGTGAACGACCCCGCCGTCGTCGCCGAACTCGGTGAGATCCAGGCCAACCATGACTACGAAATGAGCCTCGGAAAGGCTACCTACCTCGAGATCGTCCGTGGAACCCTCGGCAAGCGTCTCGCGACCGGCTGCGCAGTCCAGGGTCTGCAGCAGCTCGCTGGTGTCAACTTCATCTGTACGTTCCCCCTCACCCCAACCACCCTGTCCAAACATCCCTAACCAAATCCAGTCTACTACGGCACAACCTTCTTCCAGAACTCCGGAATCAAAAACTCCTTCGTGATCACCCTGATCACTAACATTGTCAACGTCGTCTCCACCTTCCCCGGTCTATACATGGTCGAGAAATGGGGTCGCCGTCCTCTCCTCATGTTCGGTGCTGTGGGCATGTGCGTCTCTCAACTGATCGTCGCGATCGTGGGCACAGCGATCGACAACGATGTGTCGAACAAAGTCCTCATCGCCTTCGTGTGTATCTACATCTTCTTCTTCGCCAGTTCCTGGGGTCCGGTCGCCTGGGTCGTGACAGGTGAACTGTTCCCACTTAAGGCTCGTGCTAAGTGTCTCTCCATTACCACCGCCACCAACTGGCTGCTCAACTGGGCTATTGCCTACGCTACTCCTTACATGGTGAACAGCGGCCCCGGTAACGCCAATCTCCAGGCTAAGGTGTTCTTCATCTGGGGTGGGTTCTGCTTTATCTGTGGTATCTTTGTTTACACCTGCATCTATGAGACCAAGGGTCTTTCGCTCGAACAGGTTGATGAGCTTTATTCTAAGGTTCCCCGTGCTTGGAACTCCGTTGGCTGGGTTCCTTCAGTCAACTACACTGAGCAGCTTGAGATCGATGCTGGGGAGAAGAAGGCTGAGGCTGCTACGCACCACGAGAGTGTTAAGGCTGAGGCTTGATCTTGATGTTCTTACGATTTTCTTTTCTTGATTATTTAAGCGTGGCTCTCGAACTCGATGGTTCCATGTGCTGAATTATCTTTTTATTATTTTTGATATCTGTGGTCTTTTATGAGATAGAATATAGAATATGATTTTTATTTTCAATATTGTTTTCAATTCTCTATTCGTAAGTCTTAAGACAAGAAATGCCAGATAGTCGGCTAATGCTGGGGATTATAGGCCAGGATGATACAGAGAAAGGGGTGGATTTGTATGGAATACTAAGGAACAAGGGGTTGGAAACTTGAAGACGTATGAAGAGTAGGAATCGGGGTGCAAAAAGTCTTGAGGCAAATAAGATCCCTAAGAAAACTGCCCCTTTCTACCTCTTTTACCTTACCTCCTACATATTCAGTCAAAATAGAGAATACCTATTACCTCCAGGGCTGTTTTTATAACTCGGCATCCGAACAATTTCGCCGAATGGGTTCTTAAAGTGGACAGTTCAATTACTGGCATGGTATTTACCTTGGAAGATCTCGCACTCCCCTGCGTCACTCCCCTCTTGCCGAATGTGGAAATGATTCTCTGCATTCCTCGCATGTTGTACAATTACTGAGCACGTTACCGCCGGCGGCCCCGGGGGTATTAGGGCCTTCCGGGATATGGTAAAGATACCGAGATGGCGCCGCGGGGAATCAGCGAGCTTATGTAAGGCTCACTGGTCTCCAGGGGGTACACAGGCGAAGTGCGTTCAGCTCAGCGACGTGCTCAGATATGTTATTCATCGACTATGGCACATTTTCATCGCAGATTATGCAGCAAAGTAACCAGTCACTGTCTCACACACGGGATCAATGGGATCGAGCCAATTATCGCCCCTCAGATTAAGCTTCTTCCACAGATAGGCCAAAACAAGACGAAGTTGGCAGGTTACCATGGTATATGACTCTTTACGCATGGTGTCTCTATTATGCTCATACATCATATAGAAGCTTCGCGGACAGATAGAGCCAGGTCGCACTTGCGAATCATGCCACTAGGCGGCTCTGTCACTTATGGCTCCGAGTCTACTGACGGCAACGGCTATAGGAGAATTCTTCAAGAGCTTCTCATGTCGGATGGCCACATGGTGGAAATGGTCGGGTCTCGAAAAGCCGGTTCTATGGAGAACAACGACAACGAAGGATGGCGCGGATTCAGAATCGATCAAATTACCAACAAAGCCAAAGCATCAGTCCCTAGATTTCTGCCAAACCTCTTCACTGTCAACGCGGGCTCAAATGATTGTGTGCAGCACTTTGAAATCGAGACTACTGGCAAGCGACTTAGTGACATGCTCGAATACCTGTGGATGGCGTCTTCTGGCTCTACAATCGTCCTTTCTACTCTCCTTCCAAACTTGGATGGAAAGATTGACTCACGAGTCCTACGCGCCAACGAGCAATTCCGGGAAATGGCAAAAGCGAAAGCAGCCCAAGGAAGAAAAATCGTTATCGTGGACATGCGTGGCCCCGATGGACCTCAGATAAGTGATCTGGCGGATGGCACACACCCCAACGATGTGGGCTATGCGAAGATGGCAACGATCTGGCGCAGAGGCATTCATGAAGCTGTGCATAAAGACTTTATTCAGGAGCCACTACAATTAGGCCCTAGGGATATTGCATAGTTGGTTAACACATTCAGTATAAAATTGGAGTAATTGGCATGAATTGTTGGTGCGTTTGCTGGCTGCAAGATGTGTTTACAATAAGATACTTCCACAAACGATCCTCCTTCCTTTCTAGATGCAATCTTCTGTCAGTCAGTCCTATGGGGCTCTTTGTCACCTTTTTGGTTGTTGGCACGCTTGGTAGCAATATGTTCATGTAGTCCTAAGTGTTGTGAACGGGTCCCGAGATTGGTGCCCAGGTGAGGTCCTCTTTTCACCACCTGCACGGCCAGACAACGTGGAAAAGTGGAAAACTTCCTTACATTTAAACTAATTGAGCGAAAAGTAAAAGAGATACCGTCCTTAGCAAATAGAGCGTGTCGGCATATGTCAAGATCCCATTCGCTTCAGTTGAACTACCGGTCGATATATATCTCATGTGCTTAGGTCGACTTGAGATTATAAATCAGGTCGGCCTTAGGGGGTGTCCCTACACGAGGCTCCTTAGCAGGGCATGTTCACTGTCGTTTGTTTTGCTCAATGACCTAACTTATTTCAAACAGTGACTAGTTCACTCACCGTTTCGGATTTTCCGCACGAACTCGACCTGCTGACATTCTTTCCGGACGCCGCGCCGGAAAATATGAATGTCACATCCAATCATCTTTATTCCGCAGACAGCAATGTTCAATTACCTTCCTTTAATGAGGACCTTGTTGACTATGGTGTTCCTCACATATCAGCACCCAGTGTGCAATGGACAGCTCGAGACCTATTTTGACTAAACAGCACAACCGAATCATGATGCTGATTTATCTACAAGGGACAAGACATACAGTGGCGAGAATGAGCAGACCGATGCGTTTCATGGCCCATTTTTGCATTATCCTGCGCTAGACGGGGCCAACGGACCATATGGAATGTTGCCTCTCAACGAAGTGCCATTGTCCGCAACAAGGGACAATGGCTACAGTCTGTCGCGGAACCAACAGCTACCCTTCAATGGAGTCCCACCGCACTAGGGGAGCAAGTTCAACCGAGGTCTCCCAAGACGTAGAAGCAGATATAATATTGAAAAGCTTGGTGACAAGGATTACCCCTGTCTTTATTCCGACAAATGCAAGCCCCTCCGATCCTCATACGGCGGCAGCAGTCCCCTCCTGAAGATGAACCTGCTTCTTGTTCCGCGATCAAGGGCACAGTTCAGAGCTCATATACCAATGACTCACAAAATGGAGATCAGACATGCCTTGATCCTGAATCAGTAGTCTCTGCCCACCCCATCACCGGCCTTTTCCAAACACATATTCGAACCAGTTCTCGTCCAGCTTCGACAACGAGTGCTGGAAGCACTGCTAGTGTTTCCCTCAACAATCAGTTACGTCGCGCTTATAATATGGAAGCCACAGCTCAACGACCTCGGAGGGCTCCTCGCTGCGATTACAGTTACCGAGATTTTGAGAACATAATCGTTGAAGCAGTCGATGATGAGACGGATACGACACTATCACGCAAACGCAAAAGAACCGAAACCAAGGAGCCGTCTGCTTTGGTACGTACCAGTTCTTCACAAGACCCTCTTCCTCTTCTTCAACTAATAATGGACTAGGAAATTGCTTTTGAGGAGATCCGAAAGGCAGTTAGCCATAAAACGCAACTGCTACAAGAGAAAAATCGCGTGCTTCAAGATGAACTTCGCCAGGAGAGGGGGAGGCACCAAAAGACGCAAGAGGAACTTTCCAGAGAAAGGCGTGTTTTAGAGTGCAGGAAGTTTTGAGACGCCGAAGAGGTGTCTATCTGTCGAGCAACAGTCACAGGATTTGACGAGAATAGCGAAAACTCGGGTCATTTGCGTCTAGTGGTTCTGTTATTCCCCCCTTTCTTTTCTCTTTCATTCGGCTGATTATTAGCTCCATCAGCTCTGCCCTACTCGAGCCACTTCCATCTTTACAAAGCGTCTGACCTGCCCATGAACGAACCAATATATTTTCAACGAGGAGCTAAAGTGTTGTCATAAAACCGGGTGTGAAATGTTCCGTTCAAAAACAGCATGTTGAGATTATTTCGCTTCTTTACGAAGAGAAATGCTTTTTCTTTAGTTAGTAGCTGCATTTTCTTGTTGTCACTAGCAGACACATGCCAACGTCCAAAGATAATAAGCATGGTTGCGGCGCGCTCAGACATATCACGGCGAATAAGTCCCTACTTGCTCTCGAAGAGCTTTTCAAGGTGCTTTCTAACCCTGCGCAATTTTGTTTGAAATAGGAAAGATAGACATCCTCGGTGAAAAGAGGTGGGCCTCCACCACCCGCAAGAGGCACGTACGTTTTGAGTCATGAAGACAGTCTTGCAGGGGGCTGAGTGATTTTTTATGTATCCTCCTCCGGATGCATCTATCCGCGATGGCTCTGGTGGCAGGCGCAAAAAATTGTGCAGTGCCCGATTTCTCTTCACTTTCCACTGGCCACTGGACGTTTCTCGCAGCATCAACACCCACGACCACAGTATATATCCCTCGTCGCGTAGTCCTTCACAAATTACTTCTGAAGATACTAAACCCCATTCTTCCGTGGATTATGACGTACGATTCCCAAGGTTGGTGGAGGAAACAGCATCTCAGAATAGTGAAGCCAATGACCTAGCAAGTCGATCTGCGCCTCAAATTTTCGAAATATTTAATCCATTTCAATACATGGGAGTAAACGACCAAAGTGGACTATCTCCAATATTCAGTCGGCAGCTTGTCAAAGAGGACAAATTTGAAGAGAAGCAAAGCGCACCATTTGATCGGTACCCGACCTAGATGAAAGGGGACTGTGGCAATGGCTGTACATATCTTCTTCGCAGCATGAAGACTTCAGCGTTCATGAGAGCTTGACTCTCTCCGCATTTTGGATATGATAGAGAGGGCACGTCTGCGTAAGAAAACGTATTAATATGCTCTTTCTACTGGAGGGCGGCAGCATTTACGCACCGCCGCGCAGTGTTAGAAGGCTGAATTAAGGAATGAATCAAGTGGTTTAGTCATGCCGAACTATAATATTGAATTTGCTATGTAGACAGTCCAAAAACGCAACGTACATATGGTGCTCCAGTTGCGTGGTGCCTCTTTTCCGCCTGATGCAGAGCACGACTTATTCAAACTATGACCCTAGCCTGGCCACTGTTTGGAGTGACATCCAAAGCAAATGCTCTTTGAGCTATCCGACCGCTGTTCCTAAGCTGGCTACCAACTTGACGCAGCCCGGAGGATTCTCAATGCCCGGATATACCACATCCAGTGCACTGTGTCTCTCTGGGGCGACCTACACCGTGGGTAGTGGTGACAATTGCGAAGTCATCGCGGAGAGTCACAATGTATCGACAGGCAGCCTGATCGCGATCAATGATCTTTACGTCGACTACACCTCTGTGGCTAGGCCAGGTAGGATGACTTCGTGCATTTATAGTGTTTCAACACAGCGAAATCTAATAGTCGTCTAGGTCATTTGTATCCCGCCTCAATGCAATACCTATATTGTCCAAAGTGGCGACACCTGTGACGCGATTGCGAACCGAACTAGCACGAGCTTCCAGCAGCTCGTGGCATGGAATCCCTCACTGGGTCCGTACTGCACCAATCTGCTGTCTGGACAGAGTATCTGTGTGAGCCTTCCGGGTGGCGTCCAGAACTTGACCACCATTGCGGGTGCCACCGCTACCCAAACCGGCATCTATGCATCGACTACCAGCTCTCGTCCGGATCTCATTCCGTCCGGAACGACCCTTGAATGCGGGAAATACTACCAGGCTCAAGCTGCAAGTAATGACTAGTTTACCTCACCTTTCGAGGCCACGAACACTCACACACTCAAAACTATCCACAGGGAGGTACCTGCCAGGTAATCTCGCTCAATCAAACCATCGCCCTCGAGCTTTTCGAAGAGATCAATCCCGAAATCGGCTCAGCCTGCTCAAACCTCGAGCTTGGGGTTTACTACTCATCCTACCGACAGAGAATTGGAATGCTACCGTAACCTCTACAGTCGTCCCGGCTCCGACCACAACCCCTGCAGGAACCAACCCTAATTGCTATCAGTAAGTTGCTTTAGTCTCTACCCGCTACCCATCTGTTATCATGGAAAATAACCTAACAATTTGTGATAGATACTACGTTATTCAATCTGGCGACTACTATGCCCTTGTCAAAAGCAAGTTCGACATCACTATGTCCCAGCTTCAATTCTGGAACGCAGGTCTCCTCTCCGATTACTCCAACCTCGCCCTCGGTGAAGTTTACTGCGTTAATGGCGCTGTATCCCTGTCATCTTCCACCCCACCTGCTACATCAGCGACTGCCACGGCAGCGGCAAAGAGAGATTCTCTCGCATCCCCGATTTCCGTAGCGTCTGTGACGATGACGAATCTCCCCGCTGGTGGTCTGCCCTATGGGTGGCCTGGGTTGAGGGCGGCGAACCCGGCAAGGGCATATGCAGCGGCAATGCAGAAGTGCTAGACTAGATTATCAATGGATGGGGATGGAAGCCTGAGATGATGATGATGCAGATGCAGGATAATTGAGATTGAGAATTCGAATAAGCGCAGTTCAAGAGAATACACGAGAATGGCCTCAGCTACTGACTTATTATCGGTATTTTTGGTGGCATCATGAATAGGATAAATAATAGCTCTTGGGATTTCTGTGGAGTTATTGACCAGAGCCAAATTGTATATCCTAAATCTCGGGTATTTTTGCTCCCCGCCTCAAGGATTACTTGAGAACGCTCCATGATCAACTAATAGAAAATGAGTAAACAAAAGGATCCATGTCCTGCCATCATAAACCAAAGGCGTGACTTAGGATGTCTCATCCGCGTTTTGATGCACACCCCGAAGACCAGTCGAACACCAGATATCATTCTCGTGACGGAACTTCGCCGCCAGCGAATGGAGATCCATCATCTGCAAAGCAACAATTGGATAGAATTCTTCTAGCATTGTCTCCAAGGCCACATTGAGATACCCATTGAACCCGGCCCCAGCCACATCCGCATCATCTGTACCCGGCATAGGTGGAAGACGCGGGATACTCTCTACCCGGGCCACCGCAACAACGAAAGGGATCTTTTGGCGTTCACTGCGCCGCGCAGAGGAAGGAAGTGGTAAGGTCAGAACTGACTCTAGGGAAGCAGGCGTCACCGTGAGACAAGCCGACGTGGCGAGTCCCCGTGGTAGGGTAGCAGCCATGTCAACAAAGCGTCTTCGCTCAACACGTTAGACCGATGAAAATATTTGAAAATCAGAAGGAAACGAGAACTCATACTTAGAGACCTCGGCCGCATCAACGCCTTCCAACTCGGGATCCTCAACCCAACGAAACTCAAGCGAGTTAATCGCCCGGTCTACCTTGGCTATCGACTCCCGATGCGGAGCGACTTGCTCCTCGAGAATTGCATCCCACCGCTCTCGAAATTCTGCCCAGCGCGACTCATGCTCACCTCCGTATGGCGTTGTGCGAAACACCACGAACCCCCATTTCCCCCAGTCCTCAGGCGCTGGGTTTTGGTAGACTGAGCTCAGGGTCTTAAAGAAGGGCGCAATCAGCTCACGCTCTTGTTGTTTTGTCTCCTCTGATTTGGCGTCTTCAAGGCGGGTCCGGTAGCGGCGGCTCATTTCCTGCAAGATTGCGCGGAAGCCATCTTCGCCATGCGTGGCTTTAAGACCGTCAAAGAGAGTGGTGCGTTGGGAGTCAGAGAGTGCCTGGAGCTCGTCACCGCTGGCGTTGAGGAGGTGGTCATAGGTCCAGCCAGGGGGGTAGAAGGGCATGATTACAGCAGATATTGGTGTTAATTGTTGAAGTGGGAAGACTAGGTACGTTGAGGTTATTGTGGTCCCTAACGGATGTCAGGGCCTAATATATAACTAATGAGAAGTTGAAGCGGCGATTGACTAAACCAAAATAGCATGCACGCTAAATTGCCTCACGTGCACGGCTTCTGTCTCTCGTCTCTCTTGTACCTGCCTCCTGGTTCTCTTTACCGTGGGCCACATCACGGTTTCTAAAAAGCGTGTATCCCATGCGTCCATAGCTCCTATCTCGCTATTTCATTAACTTTTGATACTGTCTGATAACGACTTGATTGGATGGTGCGGGTTGGGTGGATTTCGCTTTCGCTAATAGGTTTGGCGAAAGGCGATCGGAAAATCTACCAAATGCGAGCCGTTTAGCGAACATATGATTTAGCGAGTCTGTTTCACTGATTTTGCGATCTGCGAAGACAAGGAATAACCTTAAACGACTAGCGCCTAGTAAATCTCGCCTACTATGGTGAAAGGCTAATATGATCGGTCCATCCATTTGCCCTCGGCACATCGGACTCTCTGCGTAGTTATATCCCAATGGAAATGGCTCCACCAAAGGCGAGAAAAGACGAGAGGAGGATAGCGGGGTCGAACATGTTTACAGGCGGTTTCCGCAATGTTTATCACGTTGAAGAGTGACCTCGTGTAACTGACGTAAGTATAAATGATTGCAATTCCGGCTCGATTCCTACACCGCAAATTACCAGCTCGTCTTTACATTCTCCTTAGCACATTGAGATTACTTGAATCATGAGTCAAATCCTTTTTAAGGCTCCAACAGTGTTGAGCCGCCATTGTCAGATACGATCTCTATCGAGCCGACTCCGAAAGCTTGCAAGCCATCCGACGTCCATCCGTCCATCCAGAGATGAGGTCAAGCATGAACGCCTTTCTGATCAGAATCTAGAGGTTGCAATACGTAGCCTCCATTGGGATGGGCTTGTGGTTATTGAAAATGTTATCCCTCATGACTGCCTCGACCGACTCAACGAAAAGATGGTCGAAGATGCCTACTATCTTCAGTCCAAGAAAGGAGACAGTCCATTCAACTACAACCCCGGAAATATCCAACAAGATGCTCCTCCGGTAAGGGAGTACTTCGAGCCCAGTATTTTCATGAGTAAGTCCGCAAATCCCCGACTACACCCTCAGTCCACACTTTCTAACTCTTGTTCAGATTCCATCGCCACTCAAATCACCTCATCAGCACTAGGACCTCGTCCAAAATGGACGTTTTGCTCGGGAAATACTGCAATGCCTCCAACTGCAGAGAACCCTCCCAAGTCCCAGCCTGTCCATTCAGACGCAGACTTTGCTCACCCGACTCACCCTTTTGCACATGTGATAAATGTTCCGCTCATAACCATGACCCCAGAGAATGGCTCTACCGAGGTATGGCTGGGAACACACATTGGCTCGGGCCTACATGTTCAAGAAGGGGAGCACGGTGAGCGTGCTAGCGGCCGCATCAAGCTCGATGAGCTAGAAAAGCGTCGTCTAGAACGCCCGCCATGCCAACCCGTAGTTCCAAAGGGCTCTCTGGTCATTAGAGACCTTTGCCTTTGGCATGCTGGAGTTGGCAATCAGACCGAGGATCCTCGAGTCATGTTGGCAATGAGTAAGTCAAAGTCATTTCTTCCGGCTGTCGATCCCAAAATATCTCTAACATCGACAGTCCACTTTGCTCCGTGGTACAGGAACTCTATGAAACTCGAGCTTGCGGATGACCTGAAGCCTGTCATTGAGGGCCAGGCCGAGCTGGAGGTTCTCGTGGACTGGGTGAGCAAGTCAGAAGCACTTTCGAGGTATCTGAACCGTGGGTTTGGAAATGCGTACGATTTCAATCAGCACCCTTAAGTTCAAGGGGTTTGCTCATGCTGGTAATTGATTGGGAAGCCACAAGATGAGCGACCTTTGATTGATGACTACAAAGAAGCAGGTCCTGGCAAATGGGGGAAAAGCCAAGCCTTAGGCAGTCGCACCCCTAATATTAATGTGCCTGAGAAAATATTACTACACTCCGTACAATATCTGCTCCCTAGCTTTGTCTAACCATGGCGGTCATGGTCATAATAGACATAGCAGCTCTGCTAGCTCAAGCATCGTAATTACTCTATCCAATTCGGCTCCAGTTGCAATCATGCAAGTCTAGGATTAAAAATCGTTCTTTCTCAGACAACTATAATATGCTTAACAATAGGGTTGTCGCAGCAAAGGTCAGAAGGTGTAGGAAGACTACGCATGGAGAAAGACTGCGTTGCCTTACTTAAGCTCACGGATAGCTTAAATAAGGCTCAGAGTTCCGCTCCCTCTATTTATTGTTAGTGTAGGTATAAATTTATACGAATAAGAGGGAACATAGAAACGTATAGATAGGGCGTATATGATATAGGGTAGCTAGAGGTACTAGGGAGCTTAGAATAACACCGTGAAGTACCGTGAAGTACCGTGAAGTACCGTGAAGTACCGTGAAGCACTAGTGAGCTCTGTATCAAAATTAGGTTAGAATTTTAATAGATAGGCCTCCCTATTTCGGAGTAAAGTATACGGTTTAGCGATATTGTCGCTCTCTTTAAACGATAGTCGTGAAGTGGTAGAAGTCACCCTAAGCGGTCGGAATACTTGATCCTAAGGATACTCCTAAAGTGGTTTTCTAGATATATACTTACTTATATACGTAGCGATTGTATATCCCTACGGACATATTAGCCAGCTCTTACGGTGCGGAAGTGGGCGAGGGATACGGTCGATAGTTTTTAATAGCGCTTCTCGAGAAGGCTATATATTATAATTTCCACCGTTAGCTAGCAAAGTTGCAATTTCTCTATCTAAGCTATAGCGAGATATATCTAGTAGACAGTAGTGTGATCAATTTCGGGTATAATTTCTCTTAAGAGGGTCGTCCACTAAAGCTTTCTATCCTCTACAAGTTTTCTAACACTGGCAGCTACTATGGATATAGTGATATGTCCGATGCTGTACTAGGTGTTTACGTCTAGATGCGCTAGTTTGGATTTGTCACCAAATCTAAAGTTTTCGGCCTATAAACTTTCTCTACAATCAAGGACTCTAATAGAAACGCCTAGGATGCCCTCTATTTCGCAAATATAGTCAATCGAGCGGCTTAGTTACTGCAGTCGGTCAGTGGTCGATCGTGTGGACCTATATAGTGTCAGCGGGTGTATTATGCAAGGGAGAGAAAGCCGAGAACCACCAGGAACTCAGCAAACGCACAACACGTGCATTTTTGCTATTCTGTTCTCGGGTGGTCTGTTGGAGTGTAAGAAGCCAAGTTTGAAGAGGGTTCTAGGCAGCCTGATGTAATGCTATGACCCCGCCTAAATAAAACTAAAACGTACAACAACAGCAGTTTTTTGTTTTTCTTTTTACTCTTTTTTTTCCCTTGATGGAGAACTGCGTATAGTAGCACCATGGGCCTGACCAGTCTAATCACCATATACTGAACGCTATCAACTAGTAGGACGCAAATGCATGATATGACCTAGATCCATTCAAAGGATATATCTAAGTGACTGTCACCTACTACGATGAATTATCATCCGTCAATCCATACCCCTTATAGAATTTCTTCTTGATGAATTCCAGCACAGTCTCGTCGCTGGTGTCCTTCGGATCCAAGGGATTCTTTGCGTCCAAGTCTCCGTGCCAGAACGCCGGCACAGCATACCTCTCGCCACCGGTCTTGTTAATGACTCTGTGCAGCGTACTCTTATACTCCCCACCCGTCCATCTCTGGACCATGTCACCCAAATTGATGACAAATTTATCTTCCAGAGCAGGAAGTTCCACCCACTGCTGGGTGGCCTCGTGCCATACCTCAAGGCCATCTTGACCCGGGTCTTGAAGCAGGATAGTAATGCCGCCATAATCCGTGTGTTGGCCAGAGCCGAACTTGCGTGTATCGGTCCATGTGTGTGCCGGGTAGCGAAGCAGCTTTAGAAACCTGCACTCCATGTGAGATACAAAGCAAGTAATGGGAAAATAGGCATTCTTTTACATTGCAGCGTCCGTGGTAAAGTCCTTGAGAATCGATGGTGGGTGCCCCAGGCTGACAGCAAGAAGCTCCATCACTTTGTACCCGACCTTGTGTGCATGTTCATAATACTCCATTACTGGCCGGCGGAAGTCGCTCTCTGCAAGCTGAGGCGGCCACACGTTGGGGCCCTTGCCAAAGTCCACCTGGTCCAGAGGAAGTTCCTTCCCCACAAAGAAGCCCTATACACTGTTAGCTGACTTTTCAAAAGAATCGAGCATCAATGAACCTGACCTCTTTAGCATCGCGCGCGAAGTCACCATTGTGTGGATCGTTGGCCTGCTGCTGGCCCGGCCCCTCGTAGCCGCGTCGCCACGAATATTTGTAAAGAGAAATCTGCGTCTTCTTCTCCAACGGGAGGTCGAAGAGCGACTTACAGGCTGCGAACATTTGCCGCTGGCTCTCTACCGGTACACCATGGCCTTCAACTTGAAAGAATCCATGCTCCAGGCATGCTTTCCGCACTTGCTCAATCACCTTGGCTTTCTTTTCTTCTGAGGAGACATCGAAGTAGTCCCGCAGATCAATTGTGGGGATATATTTATCCTCGTTCTTGACGACGGCCGCATCGATAGACATGATGGCTTATATGAGGTGCTAATAATGTGTTTCTGGGCGGAGAAGACTCAAAGGTAGCGTCAATTATCTTTCTTTCTCCGTTATTAGCCTGTCAAGATATACTAGGACTTTCACTTGGTTCTGGTATAGATATATATATCTCCATCATGAATGTCGCATGATTTGCTTCTAGGCCCAAAAAGCCGCGAGTAAGCACAAAGGAAAACCCTTCGCTCATTTTGTCCGCTTTGAAGACACCAGAACCGAGTAGATGCGTCTCCGTTGGTAGAAGTGTAGTGTCGGCAGTTTCAAGAAAGGGTTCCGAGGCAACCGAATTTGGCCACACTGAGAGTCGGTCGGGCAGTGAATTCGGGCACTTTTCTTCATCCGTGTCGATCAAAGGTGGGCTTCGTCAGAATTGGTGGCCAAAGATAGAAACAAGTTTTGTCGACCGGGTAATTCGGTGGTTACATTGTGCCGATAATCCTAGTGTCTTCATGAAGATACCCGTTGATGTCAATACCTCGATAACGATGCTGATTATGGCACGGAGTATTGGGGTTCCAAGGCTGTGAAGTGATCGGACGGGGCGGCCCCTAGATCCGCTTGACTACAATCTACCTAGGTAGTTTTGCATCGCAAGAGCTAGGATATGTGACCTGGGGATTTATTCGTTATGATACGTAGTCGGCAAAATAAATGGACAACAGCATAATTATTTCTCGCTTGAGTAATGATCTGACACTAATATGGGTGAGAAAGTGTGTGCCTATATTCCTCATACAAATTAGAATCTACGACGATTGAGTGACCACCTACGCCATACCTGCCGCTTGAGAACAATCAATTGGATTATGTCGATTACAGTACATCAAAACTTATGCCAGGTCGATCGGACCTTGTGCGGCGAATCTACATTTCCGAAGCCGACACGACCAAGAATGATGTATGATAATGACAAGAACGTCAGTTGGGAAATAAAGGCTTATACTGGGTACACTAGCTTTTGCCCAGACATGGCTTGAGTACGAATCATATCCACACCATCCTTTACGCCATCCCAGCCCCCGGTCATAACCTTGATTGGGTGCGTGTCAAATTTACCCTGGTCTAGCAACGCCTGCACACTCACCGTCAACTCGGCCGCAAACCTATGATCATCTGGTCGCGCATCCCGAGAGTACTCTCCATCAATGTCCACCTTGCGTCCGAACACGGTCAATGCTAAAAGCCACGACGGCTCGATGGTAAGCGGCCTCGTCTCCGCGATAGCACTGCGAAACGGCTCGAGAGTAACGTAGCGACCACCAGCACGGCCCATGGCATTATAGCAGAGCTGCGTCGTTTCGGCTATGGCGACGCAGTCCAGCGTATACGCCAGCGTACCGCCGGTGTACCGGCGGATCTCAGCCGCGCATTCCGGGTCACTATAGTCAAAGACGTGCTCGGCACCGAAGCGGCGGACCAGGTCCACGTTTGACTTGGAGCAGGTAACGATGGGACGAAGACCAGCACTAGGACAGACGAGAACGGACCTCAGTCAGTATGCAGATGCAATGGAGAATCAATCTAGAATGAACGACTTATACATACAGCTTCAGTAGCTGAATAGCACGTGTGCCCGTAGCGGTACTGCCACCGGCAACCAAGACGAAGCGCTCGTCTTCGGCGATCTCCAAGTCATCTGGGTTACTGAGCGACCCTGGCACCTTCAGTTCATGGAAAAGGCCCAGCCCGGCAGTGAAAAGTCCCAGACCAATAGAGGCAGCATCGTTGAATGTCATTTCGTCTGGTATCCGAAGAATCAGGTCTGCAGGCGCCGCCACGTATTCAGCAAAGGCACCCACGTCCGGCTGAACAGAGTTCATGCCGTGAACCCAGCCCGCAACGCGATCCCCGACCTGCAGATGTGCGGGCGTATCTGGTCCCATTGCAACGATGGTACCTGCAAAGTCATAGCCGTGGACTGCGCCCGGCACGGGGCTGTAGTCGAGCATTTTTGCATCGACTGGGTTGATAGCCACGGCGGCAGTCTTCACGATGGCCACCATGGGCCCTGGGGATGGCACCTTCGCATCATGTTGTATGCGTAGCTTGCCAGCTCCCTCGGCTACGATGGTCTTTTGCTGACGAGGCAGGACGGGAGTCGCTAAGGGCATTGTTGAACGTTGAGACGAGGCTTCAGGGAAGTTCCAAGATGGGCTTGCACGACCGTATCGTATAATTTGATCTTTTGGAGCCTCTCATTATCTCTAAACAGGTTGACTACTTACTTACATACAGGCTCGTGGGATCGTGCTGGTATAGCACGCGGCCATGGTGGCATGGACTCAATTCAAGGTGACCATCGCTTTGTACGGGGCCATTATCGGTCGACGATCCCTGTGGTCAAAAGTGACCGAATCGGTAGACCTTCTCGATGTGTGACACGTAGTTAGCTCCCGACTACCCGACTACCCCACTGACTCCATTCTTTTGTATCATATTGTATGGATCGGTGGCGCCCAAACATATCTTGCGGACGGTTATAACACCGAGGCCGAGCAGCCTGCGCGATAAAGAGACCGAGAGAGTGAGGGAGCCTAGACGATCAAAGGAGTTCTCCTTTTCTGCATGGTAGTTATTTCTTTCTCCAGACTGCTTAGTAATTTCCAATCCTTGCAATGTTGTTTATTCTCGGCAATATCGGCACCAGAAGGGTCCAAAGTCCGAAGTACCCTGCATGAAGCCACGGCTGACTCCTGAGGCTTACGCCGTTTATCCGCTGCTCGTCCTTCACGATGTAGAGAAAGCTTGGCAATCTCGCACTCTCTTACTCAAGTGATTTCGCTTTTCCTATCTGGTTTCCATTTCATCTTTGCGCGTTAGATCAACTATTATTGACACGTATATATTACGCGGGTGTTATTATAACTGAGGTTTCAGTTTCCAACCTTTGACAATTGCATGCTATGGCTTCTGGTAGTCAACAAGCTATATTGAACAAGGAGGAGAATGGCTCCGAGTCGGATCATCTTTCAAAGGAGCCAAATGTGATGGCTGCACCGGGCTGGGATGGGCCCACCGACCCAGTAAGACCTCCCAACCCTATCATGATCGAACAATCATGCTCACCCCGCTCGCAGAACAACCCGCGCAACTTCTCAACACCCAAGAAAGTCTTCATCACTGGCTGCCTGGCCTCGCTAGTATGCATCGCCACCTTCAGCTCGTCCGTGATGAGTCCTGCTAGTGGCGACCTCATCCAGGAGTTTGGTATATCCAAAGAGGTGTCGGTTTTAGCAACAGCTCTGTACGTTCTGGGTTTCGCGTTCGGGCCCTTAATATTCGGGCCCGCCTCGGAGGTTCTGGGCCGAAAATATCCACTGAGCATCGGCGTCTTCCTGTTTGCCATTTTCAGCATCCCAATCCCCGTTACTAACAATGTCGCCACCGTATTTGTCTGTCGGTTCCTCTGCGGGACCTTCGGTGCTGCCCCGCTTGCCATTGTTTGTCTTCGGATTCCTCTACTTGTTGTCCATCCCTGTAGGATATACTGACCCGAAAACTCTAGGCTGGAGGCGGTCTCGCCGATCTCTGGGAACCCCTCTCGCGGGGTATTGCAGTGGCTGGTTTTGCCAGCGCTACGTTTTTGGGACCTGTGCTAGGTCCTCTAGGTAAGTGAACTGGCCTTTCTTCAACGACTCCACACTGACATGCCAATCCAGTGGGCGGCTTCGTCACCAAGTCACATCTGGGATGGCGGTGGACGCAGTGGCTGTCTATCATTTTCTCTCTCTTCTTTGTTGCCGTTTACTTTGTCTTTTGCCCTGAAACGTACAGCCCTGTCGTACTCGCTCGATTGGCAAAAAAGAAAGGATATCCCCTCCCGGAGAATGAGGGCAAGGTCGACTTCAAGCAGCTCGCCAGAGTCTACATGCTAAGGCCATTCATCATGCTTGTACAAGAGCCTATCTTAGCTCTGTTGACGCTATACATGGGATTCATTTACGGTTTCTTGTATCTCTGCTTTGAGGCATTCCCCATCGCTTTTGAAGAACATCGCGGCTGGGATATCGGTATCGGGTCTCTCCCGTTTCTCTCCATCACTGTCGGTGTACTCATTGGCGTTGTCATTATCATCGTTCATACGATGACCCGTATGCGGAGGAAGTTAGAGACAGTGGGCGATGCCCCGGAAGAGCGTCTTGTGCCCATGATGATTGGCAGTATTTTGATGCCTGCGGGCATATTTTGGTTTGCCTGTGAGTTATTCATCCCTGCGGAAGACAGAAGGCATGTAATGGACTGACACTGCTACTAGGGACTTCTAATCCCTCTCTACCATGGGCTCCACAGGTGGTATCAGGGGTATTTATCGGTTGCGGGATTCTCTTGATATTCTTACAGGTAGGAAAATGCCCTCTTGGAATCGGCTACACTACCCTTTCCCTTTTTCTAACAGAGGATATGTCGATTAATAACTTAATAGGGCATGAACTACATCATCGACGTCTACAAGGTAATGGCCAACTCGGCAATTTCGATCAACGCCATGTTCCGGGGTCTCCTAGGTGCTGGTTTCCCTTTATTTGCCTCATACATGGTATGGTGACACCATAAGATGAAATAGTTAAGATCTTCGCCTAATCTTTTCCTAGTTTAACAACCTTGGCGTACCATGGGCTATGTCCTTGCTGGGATTTCTGTGCGTCGCTCTAGTGCCCGTCCCGTTTTTGTTCTTCATCTACGGTGCGAAAATTCGGAAGTGGAGCAAGTTTACAGCTCATTAGATAGAACATTGTTCCAATGATAAAAGTTTATACGGGCTAAATCTGCTATCTTTCCACGACAGCCTTTCGACGGTAAGCTGAACTGCCTTTGCGTAATTTGATTACTTAAACCTTTACATATAGATAGACAAACGTACTCCAGCATTTTCGGTAAATACTAAGCATACGTATACCTTTTTTGATGAGAAGTTTAATGTAATAACTTAGCTCAGTAGATCTCAAAGGCTGAGTGAGGGACTCAGGTAGGAGGTCCAGTTCCTAGTACCTCCCAACCATTGGATAACAGGGTAAAATCCAGGGATCTACAAAGACAGATAAAAAAAAAGCACAACTGAGTTCTACTTGATCTCCAAGTGTTCAAATTCACGTATTTGCATTCCTGGCTTCGGCTACATCGGTCGCAACTGCCACGAATACGATGCTATGCCATGTAGTATGTATTATGTACAAACTCCTTGGATCGCGCTCCTCTCCTGCTCTCTAGCGCCTAATCTATTTCCCGAAAACGCCCCAGTCACCTTGTCCCCAAGTGGTCTTCAGCGTCCAGTGCTTAATCTTCCACAATCCGTCTCCAGCATCTCTAACCAGCTCGACCGCGTATAATCCACCAGCAAGCAGGAATTCGGAGCCGGGCTTCATGCCCTCTCCACCGCGGTAGTGTTGAGAAAGAGCAGAGCATGACGCCTGAGCCTTTGATTCTTCGGTGATGTTGATACGCATGTTGGTTAGGAAGTGGTTGGTGTCCATCTTGGCGATGTTGGCGTAGCATTGGCTGTAGATGGCGTCGTAGCCTTCCATGGTGGTGCCGTTGAGGACCAAGACGGCGTCATCAGTTAAGGCAGATTTGAAGAGAGCATCGTCAGCGGTGTCAAAAGCGATCACGCCACGGTAGAGGGCGTCAGCGATGGCATCGCGGTCGCTGAGGGCAGGTGTGAGGGAAGCTGGAAGTGCGGGTGCGGCCATGATGGGTATTCTGGGTATTCTCTGTACTAGATTGGAGGGAAATTATGCAGTGTTCACGATTGAAAACAGTCTCGTTGGCTTGGGGTTGATATATGCGGTTGTGGGATGGCAATGAGTGAAGCTTTGAAGCAATTAAAGTACTTTATGCCAAGGTGGAAGGCTCGCGCCTTATGCATGCCATCAAATTGAGACACGATACCCATGTAACATTCGGTATCTTATCTCCGACGGATGGGGTTAACGGAGTTACGGGGGCCTTCGGCGCAAACGAGGCCCGAGGGTGTCAAGGATCTTTGGTTGGCTGCGGGGAATCGCGGATGTCTCAAGGCTAGCGGGTCGGCCCCCATAACAACCTCGGGAGGGACCCGTGCACCCTCGGTCAAAGCTTAGCAATGCTTGGGATCAACCTTGGAACAGTCGAAACTTGCCGAACACTATGCTGTACTCGTAATTAGAAAGGAGATGGCTGTCGAATGGAGAAAATCACCCGAGCATATCCTAGCTATTACTGCCTGTGAGTTCTTCCACAATGCAAGTGCTCTAACCACTGACATCATCCTTCGCCATCCTCTGCAGCGATCGACATGAAAAGTCAGCCCATAGATTCTTCATGTGCAAGAGTTGACAATTTTGGTTTCTATGTAATTCTAGAGCTTAAAGGTAGATGAGCGAGAGTACAGTATTGCCCTTTCCAACTTTTTTCTTCGGTGAATCTGTTCGAACCCCAGAAACAATGAAAGTTTTGATTATTTTTGCCCACCCGGAACCCCAATCTCTCAATGGCGCACTTCATCGAATTGCTGTACAAGAGTTGGAAGAACAGGGTCACCATGTTCAAGTCTCTGATCTGTACAAGATCAAGTGGAAGTCCGAAGTGGATCGTGAAGACTTTCCGAATTTTCCCAAGGAGCAACGGCTCGACCTATGGTGAGTCAGTGGAATCATAAGCAGTGCTTTGATGGTCCACGGGTAAGGATTGATGGGGGCCAAAAAGTGTCTGAGTACATTGGGGCCAATGATGATTTCGTCTTACTTGATAGTTATGGCTATGCTAACTGGCTGGGATTTTGCAGGACCGCGTCTGCCGATGCATATGCCCAGAATTCCCTAACTCCAGATGTGCTTGATGAGCAAGATAAGCTGCGATGGGCCGACTTCGTGATATTCCAATTTCCCCTCTGGTGGTTCACAATGCCAGCAATCTTGAAGGGATGGGTAGACAGGGTTTATACCTATGGCTTTGCTCACGGCCTTGGAGACCATACCGACCAACGCTGGGGCGACCGATACGGAGAAGGTACTTTGGCGGGAAAACGCGCCATGTTGATCGTAACTCTTGGGGGGTGGGAGGAACACTATTCGGCTCGCGGCATCAGCGGCCCAATCGAAGACGTTTTATTCCCGATTAACCACGGTGTCTTGTTCTACCCCGGCTTCGAGGTTCTACCACCATTTGTCGCTTTCCGAGTCCATAAAACCAGCTTTGATGAAATCGCCAGCACACTCCGAAAAAGAATGCGCGAAATTGAGTTTACGAAATCTATTCCCTATCGGAACCAAAATGGTGGCGAGTACAGCATCCCAACTTTGACTCTGCATGAGAAGCACGGTGGAGACGTATCATCTGGATTTGGACTGCATACGCGCATGGAAGTGGAGGCATCAGATGTGAAAGCAGACACTGCAGACATTATGAATGGGTGAAGTAGGATTTACCAGTGATGTTACAGCAGGTGGCCAGGCACATGCAAATTCTACTTGGCCGGAGATTATGCTGACGCTTTGGGTCCACGGGTGGGTTGGGAAGGTCTTCGTTCCAGGCAATATAGGGCATTACGGATGTAACACCAAGTTCACGAAGGGAGTCGAGTATCGCTAGCCTGATCCTTGCGTATTATAAATATGGGTCTACGGGTGAGATTGTGATGAGGGGTGTCTACGGGATCCGTAATCGTTTCTCGTTTATGCAAAGTACTTACTTAGCCCTGGCTAGCTGTAATCGCTCTTTATGCTACGAGAATCCTTCTTGCTGATCCCCGCGGATCACCGAGACGTAGCAATAGCATTGCGGCTTTTCGTATTTTCTAGCTTCCCTTCAGAGTCAATACTCAAACTTTTAGTGTGTCAATTCCTTGTACGCTAGAATCACATTGCGTAGGATTCGCGCGGCGATCGTATAAGACGACACAGATAGTGAGGGTCTGGAGCCCCGGAGTGGCCCGGCTCCTGGCGTTTGAAGGATCCTACCCTTGCACTTAATGCCCCAATGAAGTTCTGCACAACTTGTCGCTAGTGGACTGTATTCATCATATCAGTGTTTGTAGTACAATATTAAGTCAGACTAATTGCTTACTTCCGTAGATTACCAGGGGCTGTTGAAGGATTTGAACGCAGCAAACCTACCTGTGCATATGGGTGTACCATTCATGGTGTTTCCATTGGGCAGAGACTGCATATCGCTTCGCATCATCCCTCGAAGTAAATTGCGAGCTTATGCACGTGGTATTTATGTCGCAATATTGAAGCCGTCTGGACGGCTATTTGAGGAAATGGGGCTTATTTGTAGCGTCTTCAGGGCCCTTATAAAGCATGGCTGCCACCGACCCCGGGATCTCATCTTACTGGTGAATTGATGCTTCCCTATTTAGCCTTTAATCCAAACTGCAGGCGTGTGTTGGAGTTCAATTGGTATTGTCACTCTAAGGCCAATCGACCTTCAAACATGAACATGAATTTTTCTGAAGAACTGTTCACTGGAAGATCTGAGCCTGGCAGGAAAGCCAACAACAGGGCCAGCAACAATCATACTAATTCAGCAATAAACGGACCTGCGGTCACCAATGACTCAAACAGACCTGCTTGCGATCGGTGCAAAGGGCAAAAACTGAGATGCATTTGGGAGCCTGGCTCAAACATTTGCCGCAGGTGTAGCCGCGCTCGGGCTGTCTGTCAACAGCCGCGACCTCGTCCTTTTGGTAGACCCCGTTGTTCTACCATCAAAAACAAAAATCACACGGCCCAAAATCAACCAAATACCAAAGCATGGTTACCTGGCGCTAGCAATGATGGTGCTACTCAGCCTCAGGAGAATGACGCAGAAGTACTCACGGCGACGTCCGGCGATCAGGATTCCATGTTCTTTCTTCCTCACACTGCCCTTGACCTGCCCCGGTATCTGGGGTTGGCTTCACTTCCCACGGACCTCAGTCTGCAGATAGCCCCGCCACATGGCGCGCACGGCCAGTCTTTCAATTGGTATATTTCACAAAGCCCCTTTTGCCATTTTCTTGTGCAGGAGTTTACTAAACCGATCTTATTTCTAGGGAGACAAGTCTGTTTGGCAATTCTTCTGATGCACAACTCAGGAACCCCGCCACATTTTATCAGCCTCAGGGTGTCACAAATGCGACCAATCCAACCACACCCGCGCCTGTTCCTGCATCTGCACCTGCATCTGCACCTGTGTCTGCGCCTGTATCTGTAGACAGCGCCTCTTTATTTGAGTTCGACCCTGATGACACCTCAGGGGATTCAGAGTACAACCATTCCAATTGGCTGAAGCAGCTTGGGGATCTCAATGTTGCCCTATACCAACATCCCTTACACCCCAAGCCTGCCACTCAATGCCCCTCAAATGTTAGCTTTGTGTCATCCGCAGAAAGTAGCGGGAATAAGCCTGGGGTTTCCGCCGCCTTCTCCGCCCCACTAGTCAGCTTGTCTAGCCTTCAGATCGGCCGTCTTCTGCATATGACATTCCAGCTCGGAAGACTGACCAAGGAAATTGATTCAGCAGACCATGTACTACCCACTTACGGTGGGTCGGTTGAGTCTGATTCCTTTGGTGGAATCAAGCTAGCCATGCATGATCGGTCGACTCTGTTTGCGGTCTTGAGTTGTTATGTGAGACTTGAGCAAACTTTTAGTCAAGCGTTAGCTACGGTAGCTGACATCAGGAAATGTGGGCCCTTGCCGGATGATACATATCAGCTTATGCCGAGGCTCACTGTAGATGATTGTTCTTTGGAATGTTGTCCATCGATGCAGATTGACTTTGTGATCTATATCTGTGAGAAGACTTTAGTTCAGATTAGGCGGAGCATTACTTCGCTTCATGCCGACATGTAAGCAATAGACTTGGGATATTTCGAAATTGATGGAATGGCAATTTCCTTGGTCTCTGCTATCCAAAGGACGCATACTGGGGTGGGGCTTGAATAGACAAGGGAGACTCAGCTAGAACATGGTGATTTGAAATTCAAACAATTGCAGGACTATTTCACAAATTGGCTGTAAATTATACTTTTCGATAGGGTAATGAAATCAACATGAGCTTTAAATGTATCAGTGGTAAATTGATGATTGTTCTCATTGTCGGAATTTAATCCACAGTGTAAATTGTACTTGAAATCATGGGAAAAAAAAGGGCCACTCTGGTATTTGACGCGTACATAAGATCTTTCAAGTTGATAGTACGGCTGAGGACTATTCACAATATTAAAATGGTCATATAATTACCCTCATTTTTGATTTCCTCTGACAACATCCTTCAATTTCACAGCCAGCTCAGGTTTCACCCAGAGTCTCATCACTTTGCATCGACTCAGCCAGTCTTGGCTCCTCTCCTCGAGGTCAAGATCAAAAGACCAGATCATTTTGGCCACGATGATCCTCAATTCTGCATGTGCTAGGTTCCTCCCCAAGCAACCGCGCGGGCCATAACTGAAGGGCTGAGCCGCACTTCTCTTATCGTCCGCGTACTCTTTCTCGCCTAGCCTATATCGAAGCTCGTTGTCAGCGTTCGTCAGCAAATAATTTGTGTAGAGAACCTACCATCTCTCTGGTACAAAGGCGTCCGGGTTCTTAAAATTCCTGCTCGAATGATACGCTGCGTACTGGCTCACGGATACCACACAACCCTCCGGTAAGAAGTGACCAGAGACAAACTCGCCGCCCCGATTCACTACCCTTCCAAATCCAACAGGGGCTGGCGGGAAGTATCTGAGTGCTTCCAATAACACCGCATGTAGATATATCATAGTGTTGAGAGCAGGCAGTTGAATCTCTTCATACGACGCGAATTTCTCGCGAACTTCTTGTTTCAGTTTCTCCATGACTCTGGGATTCTTGAGCAAAAGAAAGGTGACGGCACTGAGCAGCGTTGCGGTAGTCTCGGAACCGGCGTTGAGGAGTAGAAACGCATTGGAGTTGATCTCTTCGTCTGTAAGTTTCGATCCTTTGTTTCCGTTATTGGCCAGAATCAATGTCATAAAGTCAGGCCGTGTTGTGTCTCTTTCTCTTCGCTTCTGAACTTGAGTGGAAACCCAAAACTATGAAGGTTAGTGCTTCTCAAGACACAGACGGTTATGTTGAGATAACAACGCACTAAATGGTCCTTTCGCTTCTGAACTTGTCTCTGGTCAATTAACAGGTTGCCAAAGTACTTCAGCCAAGGAAAATGAGTAAGGACGAATAGGATCCTGAGCGACTTGAAGGATTCCAGCAGAACGGCCACAAATTTGTGAGTCGATAAATCCTGTAGGCACCCAAATGGCTCACCTGGAAGTTGAATTAGCTCGGGTGGTCAAATCGGTTAGCTGTGAAGAGCGCACCAAACATCAAATCAGCAATAATATCGAACGTCGTCCTGAGCCATGTTAGATTGCAATACTTGTATTTTGGCACGGGTGGGCTTCTATCACCAGTTATACCACGACACCATGTCGACTACACCTTCGCCTTCCTTTGCAGCGGTGACTTTCTTCAGCCCATTTATGAGTTGGTCGACGTAAGTCTGTACCAGGGGCTCTTGAGCGGCAACCGCCCTCTCGCTAAAAGCATGAGAAAGTACTCGGCGGCCTATTTCACTCGATCAGTTAATCAACTGGGCTGTACCGACACGGAGTATCGATCATGGGATCACATACCTCTTGCGTGGTCTTCATCGTTCGCCTGCAGAAGAGACGGAGATCCATTACTCGGCTTGACATACCACACTGGGTCCTGGTCGTGAGGTCAGTTAAGACATAAAATATGTGACCCATGCATACTTACCTTCTCCATATTTAGATGTCCCTTAAGCTTGCCGGTGCGGAACCCTGATCTTGATGAGCCATAGCTAGGTGTTCCCTTCTTCGAATCTCACGTACCGTAAATATCTGGAAATGCAGTCTCGCCACTGATAAAAGACACTTCATTTGGCGAGATTCTCACCACATCGCCATACTTCCGGTGCAGTCCCACTGAGTTTTCCACTGTCGTGCCGGCAAGCATGTGCCTTGCATACGGTATCATGGAGATACTGTTGAGCCACGGGCCTGGGATGTGGCGCAGCCCATTAAAGGAGGCATTATACACAGCTCTGCATCCGGAGTAGGCGAGAAACTGGAAAAGGATGAGTTTCACATGCTGATATAACTCAGAGGATCAATTTGAACACCCACCAATACAATTAGGCCTCCTGTGAGGGAAACTGATTCCACCAGCTTGACTTTCAAATCTTCCATTTGCCACCAAGTGAATAGTCCAACCAAAATGGGTCTTTTATAGCAGGGATTCCGGTGCTAGTAGTATATCGAAGGAATGGATTAAGTTGACAATGCCAAATATATTTCTACGTTTCTAGGAAGGTTTATAAGCCTCTTGTTTTAAAATAGAGTAAATGTTGGATTTAACTCCATTTACCCTCGCAACTTCAGTGCTTGATTATACTAGTGCATTACGCGTCGAGTCCTGCATCAATTCGGGTTGATGGGCAGGGCGCTCCCAGATCAATAGAGCACGGATCCTTCGGCGGCAACGCGCCGAACCCACCGAACCAACACGTCAAGCATTCTTCCGTTCTAATTCCACGTTCAACGCGTCTTTTCTCCCCACTCTGTTTGAAATAAGCCAATAGAAGCGAAGCATCAGTTGCAGATAGCCCCGCTATGCTATGAAGGAAGCAATCTCGAATGAAACCTGCCGCTGTGGGGTTTTCGGAATTCGGTGATTTCTTTTGGATTTCTCTGGCCCTCGAGCGACTCGGGCAGAGAGGCCTAGACAGTATCCACATCTACACATGCACGAAATCTTCATCTGCACACCCTGCAGCCTTATCAGTAATCATCATCACTGATGTGACCGAAAGTCTACCGGGCGGATAAACCCCCTGTCTCACGCACGTCTCCAGCCGTAGTCGTGATGTGGTATTTTGCTGAAATTATGTATGCATATACCAATAAACGGTTATTATTCAACATGGCTTGGCAGAGCTCCCCACTTACGGAAAGTCCCAAAGATCGACGCTAGATTTGCAGTTCTTGGCATAGTCGAGCCGGGTCGCCCAGAAAACAGCCCGAATACGTTTATTGATGCCGCAATTGGGCAATCTCTTGCTTGGTGAATCAGATTCGGCACATTCTATGCTACACCTGTCATTTCAGCTGGCGATGATTAGAGTGAGGAATAGATATGGAAACCCCATAGTTTCCTTTATCAACTGACGGATGATACTTGACCTGGACATTGTCTCGAAACATTGGTAAGACTTTTCCGGTAGACATATTTCACATCGTGCTCCCTGACTATTATATCATTTTAAGTCATCGCTATCTTTGAAAGGATTGGAGAAGCAGCAGTGCTACTACAACCGACATGGTTTTACCCCGACCCGAGCCCATTGCCATTGTAGGTAGCGGCTGTCGGTTTCCAGGCAGCTCAAGTTCCCCCTCAGCGTTATGGAACCTCCTGGAGAAGCCGAGGGATGTGTCTAAAGAGCCCCCTAATGAGAGGTTCGAGCTCAGGGGCTACTACCACCCCAATGGAGCGCACCACGGAACGATGAATGTGCAGCGCGCATACATGCTCGATGAGGATGTTGGCACATTCGACGCCACGTTTTTTAATATTAGCCCCAATGAGGCTGAATCCATCGGTAAGATATTTTCTCTAAATGATACCGTCCATCACGATACCTTCCCGGTTCTGAAAAGCCTCTATGCAAAGCTCGACAAGGTTTTGCTGATCTCTAATGGTGAGCAGATCCTCAACAGCGGCTGCTGATGGAAGTGGTATACGAGGCTTTGGAAGCCGGTGGCCATCGTCTCGACATACTCCGTGGCTCAGACACCGCCGTTTTTGTTGGTACAATGTCTGTCGACTATAACGACATCATGTTGCGGGATATCAACAGCATACCAACATACTTCTCCACTGGCACTTCCCGGGCTATTCTTGCTAACCGTGTTTCTTACTTCTTCGACTGGCACGGACCGTCAATGAGTATTGACACCGCATGCTCCTCGAGTATGGTTGCGCTGCATCAGAGTGTACAGGCACTACGGTCAGGAGAGTCTCGGGTAGCTATCGCCGGTGGTACCGAATTACTGCTAGGACCAGGTTAGTCTCCCCACGTAAGCACACTGCAGTTGCTCAAGGAAGGCAAACATGGTGCCAGTATTGACGATCTGATACAGAGCAATTTGTGGGTGAGAGCAAAATGAATTTACTGTCCCCGACTGGGCAGTCACGCATGTGGGACGCTAGTGCGAATGGATACGCCAGGGGCGATGGCATCGCAGTGATTGTGCTCAAGAAACTCAGCGACGCCATCGCTGATGGAGACCACATTGAATGTCTCATTCGCCAGACGGGGATAAATCAAGATGGAAAATCCACTGGCCTGACAGTTCCCAGTTCAGAGGCTCAGGCAGACCTCATCAGATCGACTTATACCAAGGGCGGGTTGGATATCGATAATCCGCGAGATTGGCCGCAGTTCTTCGAGGCTCACGGCACGGGTACCAAAGCTGGTGACCCCCGTGAAGCCTCCGCGATCAGCCAATGTTTTGGAAGCCAGCCAATCCATGGAAATCCCTTATACGTTGGATCCATCAAGACTATCATCGGCCATACAGAAGGTACAGCCGGATTGGCTGGTGTTTTCAAGGCTTCTTTAGCCATCCAGCACGGTATAATCCCCCCTAACATGCTCCTCAATCAGCTAAACGATGAGGTTGCGCAATATTGTGACAATCTCCGCGTCCCCAATTCCCTAACAGCATGGCCTAAGTTGCCAGACGGTGTCCCTCGACGAGCGAGCGTGAACAGTTTCGGTATGTACACTCAGATCTGAAGGCCCTACAGAAAGAATCCTAGGCTGACCATATCACTTCTTTCAACAGGCTTTGGCGGCACCAATGGACACGCCATTTTGGAGGAGTACCAGCCACCCACAGAGACAAGAAATACCGCGATCACAGGAAGTGATGAAACCAACGCATCAGTGTTCAGGGTCTTCCCATTTTCTGCAGCCTCTGAAGAGTCTCTAGCTGCCAATCTACGCGCTTATGCTAGCTCTCTAAAGACTCAGACCACTGTCGATCTGGCTGACCTGGCCTGGACGCTTCAGTCGCGCAGATCGGCTCTGTCCTTCAAAACATCCCTGACTGCTGAGAGCGTAGAAGGGTTGGTCTCCAAGATTGATAGCACGGTCGAAAAAGCCAAGGCCGACGGTGGATCGAACGTTGGTACGCGATCAGCTCCTGCCAAGCCCAGAGTATTGGGTGTCTTCACCGGACAGGGAGCACAGTGGGCGACAATGGCTGCTGGTCTGATCCAATCCTCAGAAACCGTACGTTTGAAGATCGAGGACCTTGATAACTCTCTCGCTACGCTGCCCGAAGGCGACCGTCCGACATGGCGAATCGCAGACCAGCTTTGCCTCAACGCCGAAGCTTCCCGACTCAATGAAGCTGCCCTCTCACAACCCCTTTGCACAGCCATCCAGGTAGTATTGATTGATCTACTACGGAGCTCTGGCATCACGTTTGAGGCCGTCGTGGGGCATTCATCGGGTGAGATTGCAGCCGCATATGCTGCCGACTTTATCTCCGCCCACGATGCTATCCGCATTGCCTACTACAGGGGCTTGTATGCCGGACTCGCCCGTGGTCCCAAGGGCCAGAAGGGTGCCATGATGGCAGTTGGAACGACTTGGGAGGACGCAGAAGAACTCCTCAATTTACCGGCGTTCAGGGGGCGCGTCAAGATTGCCGCTCAGAACTCAGCCGCTAGTCTCACACTCTCCGGTGATATTGAGGCTCTCTCACACATCAAGAGAGTGTTTGACGAGGAAAAGAAATTCACCAGGCTCTTGGTTGTAGATACTGCGTACCACTCCCATCACATGCTGCTGTGTAGTGAGCGCTATATCCGGGCTCTCCGCACCTGTGGCGTTCAGATCAACTACGACCGCGACACGTCTTGCACATGGTACTCCAGCGTTAAGCATGGCGAGCCAATGCACCCTGAAGCTTCGCTCGGTGATCTCTACTGGAATGACAACATGGTGAATACGGTTCTCTTCGCTGATGCTGTCAAGGGCGCAGCCAAGGGAAGTGACTTGAACCTCGCAATCGAAGTTGGGCCCCATCCAGCACTCAAAGGTCCTGCCTTGCAAACCCTCTCTGACCTCCAGATCTCTCTTCCCTACACTGGTGTTCTGAAGCGGAAGGGGAATGATTTGGAGGCGTTCTCGGATGCCCTAGGCTTTGTATGGACTCATTGTGGACCTGGTGCGGTTGACTTCCAGCCCTACGAGGAACTGGTATCTCCTGCTTATAAGGCTCCTTCGCTGGCCATTGGTCTCCCGGCCTACCAATGGGACCATAAGCGACTGTATTGGTACCAGTCACGCCTGGCAAAGAAGACACAAATTAGGGGAGAGACTTTCCACGAGCTGCTCGGCGTTCCGTCCCCGAACAACACGGATCGTGACCTTCGATGGTCCAACTTCCTCAAAGCCAATGAAATTCCATGGCTAAATGGACATCAGTTGCAAGGTCAGACCGTCTTCCCAGCTGCGGGATATGTGGCAATGGCATTGGAAGCGGGCCTCAAGCTCGCGCAAGGTAGGAGCATCAAAGTACTCCAAATCGACGACTTGACCATTGACAAGGCTGTGATCTTCGATGATGGCGCCAATTTTGCGGTAGAGACACTTGTCACCCTTACTGGCATTACCCCTGGCCAATCTCCCATCAAGAAACAAACAGCCGACTTTTCCGTTTACTCGTGTGCGAACACAGGGTCCACTGAGTTGAGCGTTGTATCCAAAGGCAAGGTCACGATTGTTTATGGAACTCCATCGTTCTCTACGCTTCATTCCTCACCACACAATGAACAAAACATGGTAGATATTCAAGCTGAACAGTTCTATTCCTCGCTGCACGAACTCGGCTACGGCTACAATGGCCCCTTCAAGACCTTGTCCTCAACCAAGAGAAGCCTCAACCAGGCCTCGGCCAGAGTGTCGACGTACGGCTATCGTGAAGATGAGAACACTCTTATTATTCACCCCACAATGCTGGACGTGGCATTCCAGGCGTCCTTCCTTGCCCGAATGAGCCCGGGAGACGACCAGCTGTGGTCACTACATGTGCCCACTTCGATCAAGTCTATTCGCGTGAACCCGGAGCTCTGCGCCTCACTGCCTAGCTCCCCAACGAGTCTGTCGCTCTCTGCGGTCCTTCACGAATCTGATTCACTCTCCATGCTTAGCAGTGTCGATGTCTTTACGGAAGACGGCCAGGAGACGCTGATTCAGGTAGAGGGCTTGTCGATGAGGCCTTTTTCTCCGGCAACAGCTGATGGTGACCGCTCTATGTTTTCAACAACCGTGTATGGTCCCATGTCCCCTGAGGTGGCTACGGCTGTGGGTAACGGTCTTCCTTCCACTGAAGACCTAGTTGTTTCGGACTCTACTCTCGGTCAGCTCTATCCCCAAGGTCTCGGATCTTCTCAATGCAACCGCTCGCTGGCTCGAGTCGTACAACAGATTATGCACCGGTATCCACATGCAAAGATCCTTGAAATAGGTAAGCCCCACATGCAGACACTATGATATGTACAGGAAAGTAAGTAACAATCGCCAGGCGCACGGGCGGGACATGCTACGAGGGCGGTTTTAGAATCGATTGGCAGCAAGCTGTCGTCCTACACTTTCACCGATTCGTCGACGGAGGCCATCGAAAAGGCAGCGGAGTCTTTCAAGGAGTTCAAGGAGAAGCTTATTTTCAAGACATTTGACCCTCTTGACAAGCCATTCCCCCAAGGGCTCGACGACTATTCTTATGACGTGGCCATTGCATCTAATGCGTTGACAAGCAACTCGGTCTCACAAGCTGAGTTAGAAAACATTCGACGCCTCTTGAAGCCGGGAGGTTATTTCTTAGCTTCTGGACTCATTGGTGATGCCCCCGCCAGGACACAAGTTGTGCTGGGGGCTCTGGAAGGAGGGACTACTGATGGCAATGACGTGCGCAAGCACGGTCTTGGAAGCACTGCTCTCTGGCATGGAGCTCTTCGAAAGGCTGGATTCTCGGGTATTGATTCCATAACACCGCAAACCAATGGAATAGCATTGCCATTTTCTGTCATCGTCACCCAAGCCGTGGACAAACGAATCAATTTCTTGCGGAAGCCACTATCGACGACCTCATTTGTTCCATTGGATGAGCTGGTTATTGTTGGCAATCAGTCACTCAAGGCAGCGCAGCTCACCGAAGAAATCTACGATCACCTAATTCAGTTCTGCGGCAAGATCATCGTACTGGACGGTCTTCCAACTGATGAGGACGACATCTCCTCAATGGCCACGTTCGTCAATCTAGCCGATATTGACGAGCCCATTTTCCGCAATGTCTCCGCAGAGAAATTCGAAGGCCTGAAGTGTCTCTTTGAGCTCGCGAGTAACATTCTTTGGGTGACTGAAGGCGCCAGAGCAGATGAACCGTATCATAATGCCAGCATTGGATTTGGCCGTTCAATCGCATACGAGATGCCGCACCTGTCTCTGCAGTTCCTCGACCTAAATGACACCGGGAGCACAGCATCTCGGGCTATCAGCGAAGCTGTTCTGAGGCTCGTTGCCCTCCGAGAATGGACAGAGACCGAACATAACTTCAAAGAGAAGACATTGTGGTCAAGAGAACCCGAGCTATATGTGGAGAAAGACCGCCTTATGGTGCCGCGTCTACTTCCGGTGGACGATCAAAATGCCAGGATCAACTCTTTGAGGCGAGTAGTCACCAAAACGGTGGACCCAGATAACTCTTCCGTTCTCATCTCCACGGCTGTTGGTGGATCCTTTGTGTTGCGAGAAGGGCCAATCCGTCAGTCTGGTCAGACTTTTGTCCAGGTTAAGAACTCCGTTTTATCTGCCATCAAGGTCGCCCCTGAGACTTTCTTGTTCCTCGGGGCTGGTCAAAGCCAAGCCACCGGCGAGTTTGTAATCACGCTTTCAGACACCAACGCATCGACGGCCACTCCCTTCGCCCATGTTCCCGCACTGTGGCACACAGATAGACTTCCTACGCTGCTATCCGCTGTCGCTAAGCAGCTCCTAGCCCGGGCACTGCTTTCTATGGTGATTGCTCACAGCCATTTGCTCGTCCACGGTCTCGATGAGAACGAGTCGTTTGCCTCCACGTTGAAACAACAAGCGGCTGTTAGAAATATTGAGGTCAGTTTTAGTACAGCAAGCCTCACGGCAAACTTTGAATGGATCCGGGTAGCCGCTTGGACATCAAGTCACGTCGCCAGACAGTCAATTCCAGCAACGACCACCCATTTCCTTGACCTCTCTAGCGATGATGAAAATCGAGATGCGGCTTCCATGATCCGGGAAGGTCTCCCGGTTACGTGCAGGCACCTCAGCACGTCTGATTTATTCCATCCCGAATCTTTCGTGCCAGCAGGAAGTAGGGACACCATCCTGCAAGCTCTACAAGATGCAGTTCGTGAGGCGAAGGCGAATGCATCGAGTGAGATTCCAAGCCCCAGTATCCGACCTGCCGAGTTGATTGATGTGTCTGTGCCGAAGTCTCCAGTCAGTATTTTGGACTGGACAGTGGATAGAGCTGTCCATGTTCAGGTACAGCCTATCGACGCCACTCAGCTCTTCTCCCGGAATAAGACATACGTTCTGGTTGGTCTCTCGGGGCGGCTTGGCCAGTCGATCTGTCAGTGGATGTCCCAAAATGGGGCTGGCTGTATTTGCCTTACTAGTCGTACCCCCAAAGCGGATCCGGAATGGCAGGCTGGAATGGAGAAAAAGGGTACCACTGTCAAGTTCATTCCCATGTAAGGCGACCGATTTATTCCATTGGTTTCACCAACCGTTGAGGCTAATTGAGATTATTTAGGGATGTTACAAACAAGGATGATGTTGAAAGAGTTTTCGCAGGCCTCAGGGCTAACTCTCCACCAATTGCTGGCGTTGCAAACGGCGCAGCTGTCTTCCATGATGCCACGTTCTCAGAAATGACACATGGAATCTTGGAGGAGGTAATGAACCCCAAAGTCGTCGGAACTAAAAATCTTGACGAAGTGCTCGGTGATGCTGAACTAGACTTCTTCATCGTCTTCTCATCTCTTACATCAGTTGTCGGCAATAGTGGGCAGTCCAATTATACAGCTGCGAATGCCTACATGACTGGCCTGGTCGGCCAGCGGCATAAGCGAGGTCTCGCGGCCACCTCTCTGGATATCGGCTCCATTGTTGGTATCGGATACCTGGAGCGTGCCAGTGATACTGCCAGAGAGCAATTAATTCGAAATGGCTTCACGGCTGTCTCCGAAACGGATTTGCATCAACTGCTTGCTGAGGCCATTCGAGCTGGCGCGACCAATTCCGGTGCGAGCCCGATTGTGACTACCGGTTGCCGGAATGTGCAAGAGGGTGAGGAGTTCCCCGTGCCGTGGATTGACGATCCACGCATGCAGCACAAAGTCATTTTAGGAAAACAGTTTTCAAAGGCCGATGTTGGCGGCAAGAAGAGCATCCTTCCCGTCCGTGACCAGCTCGCTGTATCGAAAAGTACCGCAGATGCGCTTGAAATCTTGAAAGGTAAGACGTGAAATGGATATACGGGTTTCCAACCACGACATTCACTAACTAAATAGTCAGAGTGCTTCGCCGCCAAATTGGCAATGATTTCGCGACTTGCCGATGGGCAAGTCGGCCACGACATACCCCTTGTCGAGCTTGGCATCGACTCATTAGTTGCCGTTGAGGTGCGCGGGTGGTTCTTAAAGGAGCTCAAGACAGACATTCCGGTACTCAAGGTTCTTGGGGGTGGCACCGTTGCTACTTTGTGTCAACAGGCCCTGGCAAAGCTACCGGAAGGCCTTCTCCCGAACGTGGAAGCTGGAGGCGCATCCAAGGCGGGATCATCTAAGCCCGCAGCCAAGCCTCCGGTTGCGAAACCCAGATCGCCGCCCTCGCCGTCTGCCTCCGAGACGAGTTTACTGGGAAGATGGAGCGAAAGCAACACGAGATCTCCCCAATCGACATCGTCAAGTGACCAGTCCCCTTCCAGCACCCCAGCAACTGTCCTGTTCAATGTTCCCTCAAATGTTGATTTAACGGAGGTTGCAAAATCAGCGAAGCTTCTAACTCCTTCCTCTGACTTCGTGAAGACAGAACTGGTATCCTTCCAACAATCACGATTCTGGTTCCTAGGCCTCCTGATAGACGACCCGGCGACCTTCAACGTCACCTTCTACCTCCGCATCTCTGGCAACCTGCGTACTGGAGATCTCGAGCGTGCCGTTCGCCTAGTCACTAACAGGCACGAGTCGCTGCGGACATGCTTCGTGGCCCATGAGCAGGAGGCAGACCTAGCCTATCAAAAAGTTTTGCCCAACTCACTTGTACGGCTGGAGAAGAAGAAGATCAACAGGGTTGAGGATGTTGAGATCGAGTATGCTGCCATGAAGCAAGTTCCGTTCGATCTCGCCAGTGGCAACTTGATCCGACTAGTTTTGCTCGCCCTTTCCCCCTCAGAGCACTATCTTCTTTTCAACTACCACCATATCCTGATGGATGGGGTCAGCCTGCAGAACTTCCTCGCCGACCTTGAGAAAGCTTATCAGAGACAGCCCCTTGGTCCATTTCCTTGCCAGGTTCCCGAATTATCGCGAGCTCAGCGAGCTGCGTTTGAGAGCGGCGATTTCAGTGAAGACATTGCATACTGGAAGAACGAGTTCCCAAACGGACACCCCCTACTACCGCTCTTGCCCATGTCGCACATGACTTCGCGTATGCCGCTTAATTCATTCAATGTCCACCAAGTGGAGTGGCGAGTGGGTTCCGAGCTGATGGCTAAAGTTCGGGAAGCAGCCAGAGTCAATGCCTGCACGACCTTCCACTTCTATCTTGCCACGTTCAAGGCCATGCTATTCCGCTTCACCGACACTGGCGACTTGACAATTGGCATTGCTGACGCCAACAGAATTAATCCCGATGTTGAAGGCACCATTGGGCTCCTTTTGAACCTCCTCACGCTACGCTTTAAACGCGACTCCAGCCAGACATTTTCTCAGAGCGTCGGGGAGGCCCGCGGAAAGGCGCTGGAAGCCCTGCAACACTCCAATGTGCCGTTCGATATTTTGCTTAAGGAACTCAATGTGCCTCGATCCTCGTCATACAGTCCATTCTTCCAGGCCTTCTTTGATTATCGCCAAGGTCATCAAGAAAAGTTGTCTTTTGGCAGCACTGAGTTTGAGTTTTTGCAGGTCCATCCTGGACGTACCGCATATGACATGACTCTCGATGTAACAGATGGTGCAGATAGTGCGCGCATCCTGTTCCGCACACAATCCAGCCTTTACGACAAGACGGCTGCGCAGCTACTACTGAATACGTTTGTCCACCTCTTGGATACATTCGCAACAAACACTTCGTTGAAATTGGACGATTTTGCCTTATTCAGCGACCAGGAGCTGAAACTCGCACTTAATGTGGGACATGGTAAGTAAATCTGTTCAATGTCTCCTCAAAGGTGTATACCTATTGACGAAACTTAGGTCCCAATTTTGAATCTTCCTGGCCTGGCGGCACACTTCCTCATAGAATTGATCAGATTGCCAAAGAGAATGAGGATAAAGTAGCTTTGAAAGACGGCTACGGCAGAATTCTCACGTACGGGGCTATGACCGATCGCATCGAAGCCATTGCTGCAGCCTTGCAGCAGGTTGGTGTTGGCGAGAGCTCTCGAGTCCTCGTTTTTGAGGATGCGACCACTGACTGGCCCTGTGCAATGCTGGCGATCATGCGTCTTGGAGCTGTATATGTTCCATTGGATCTTCGAAACCCGCTGCCTCGCCTTGCAGACGTTGCAGGGAGCTGTGAGCCGGTTGCTATCATCGTCGACTCCACAACCGTTGACAACGTCGCACAAGTGAACGTTACACTTGCAGAAGTCGTCAATGTATCTGAGGTTGCCTCGAAGTCCGTCAGCGTGCCTAATGTGTCTCGCAGCGATGCTGTTGCCGCACTTCTCTATACGAGTGGGTCGACGGGCAAGCCCAAAGGCATCGTGGTGACGCACTTAGGTCTCCGCAATGAGATTGAGGGCTATACATGGCAGTGGGGTCTGAAAGCAGAACGGGTGCTCCAGCAAAGTGCTTTTACCTTCAACCACTCGTCAGATCAGATTTACACGGGCCTAGTTAACGGAGGTTCTGTATATATCGTGCCTTGGGACAAGCGTGGTGATCCTATTGAGGTGAGCAAGATCATCAATGAGGAGAAGATCACCTACACAAAGGCCACTCCTGCCGAATACTCACTCTGGCTCGATTACGGAAGCGACAATCTCAAGCAGGCCTCTAGCTGGCGTTTTGCCTTTGCAGGTGGCGAGTCTCTAACTGGGACACTTACGAGGAGCCTCGCAACCCTGCACCTGCCCAATCTACGTTTCTTCAACTCTTATGGACCGACCGAGGTCTCTATCTCGTCGACCAAGATGGACATTGCGTATCGCGAGCCACCCCCAGAGGGCCGCATTCCCTGTGGCTTCATGCTCCCTAACTATGCGGCGTACATTCTGGACGACCAGCGCAAACCGGTACCCATCGGCATGCCAGGCGAATTGTACATCGGTGGCGCGGGCGTATCCCTTGGCTACCTAGACAACGAGGAGCTCACAGAACAACACTTCATCCCAAACCCATATGCCATACCAGAGTATGTTGCACGGGGCTGGACGAAGATGTATCGTACAGGTGATATCGCACATCTTCAAGAGGATGGGGCAATGGTGTTCCATAACCGTATCGCGGGCGATACGCAGGTGAAGATACGTGGTCTCCGAATCGAACTCGGTGACATCGAAAGCAACATCATCAAAGCAGCTGGCGGTGCTCTGAAGGAAGTCGCCGTCACATTACGCGATGGCGACCCGCCTATCCTAGTAGCACACGTTGTGTTTGCCCCTCGCCATCACATTGTCGACACGGAATCGTTCCTGGCTCACCTCCTGAAGAACCTAGATGTGCCGCAATACATGGTTCCTGTAATGGCCATCCCCTTGGACCGTATACCATTGAGCAACCACTCCAAGACGGACCGCACGGCACTCAAGGCCCTCCCGTTGCCGCAGAGAGCCAAACATGACAATGAGGATAACACGGAGGCATTGACAGAAACTATGCTGGAGCTTCGACAGCTCTGGGTAGATGTGCTAAATACTGGGGAACTAGGTCTCGACATTGGTCCGTCGACAAGCTTTTTCACGGTCGGTGGCAACTCCCTGCTCATTGTACGGCTCCAATCGCGCATTCAGCAGACATTCAACGTTACGGTGCGGCTCTTTGACCTCATTGATGCCAGTACTTTGAGTGACATGACGCAAAAGATCGAGGAGAGCTTGAGTGTCGACCTGATAGACTGGGACAAAGAGACGGCCTTGCTCAGTGACCTTCCTGTATCGGAGGCCAGCAACGACCATCCCCTTAAGACGACTGATAAAGTGATCCTCGTTACCGGCTCTGGGGGCTTCTTAGGCAAGCACATCCTAGTCGAGCTCATTGCCCGACCGGATGTATCTAAGATTCACTGCATTGGTCTCCGCAACAAGCCAGGTAACACGCCCCGCCGCCTAGCTTTGAACTCGACCAAGATAATCACCCATGGTGGCGATCTGACCGAGCCGTGGCTTGGCCTTGGCGAGGAGACATTCGCATCGCTTGCTCTGGAGGTGGATGCGATATTGCACATGGCTGCGACGCGGTCCTTCTGGGACAATTACAGCCTCCTCCGCCCTATCAACGTGACGCCCACAAAACTCCTGGTCCAAATGGCTGCTGGGCGCCGGATACCAATACACTATATCTCCAGTGCGGGTGTCGTCTCTGCGGAAAGCGTCGAAAGCACTGCAGGATCAGCAGCGAAGCATCAACCGCGCGTCGATGGCTCCAACGGCTACGTTGCGTCGCGATGGGCGTGCGAGCAGATCCTCGAGCGTGCTGTCTCGGTTCTCGACGTGCCTGTCTCAATTCATCGTTTTGTCCCAGCCAAAGAGCCTACAAATGACACGATTGTGGCAGACGCGCTGCAGCATTTCCTTGGCTTCGTCGATGATCTGTCCATCATGCCCGAATTCAACGGTACGACAGGTCATTTCGAGATGACTCCTGTCTATACAGCTGCTGGTGAGCTTGCAGAAAACCTTTTGAAGACCCCGACGCAAGAATCGCTGCTATTGCAATTTTTGCATCATGACTGCCACATTCGCATTGACATTGGTGAAATGGTGGCCTTCTTGGAGGAGGAGAGAGGAGGCAGGGGTCTGGAGAGGGTCCCGGGACTCAAGTTTGTGGGAGACATGAAGCGAGCGGGTTTGGCTTACTTTGTGACGTCACAGATGCTTCTCATGGGTGGAATAGATGGGAGTGCAGTGTTGGAGTCGAGGCGATAATCTTTGTTTGCGGAGTATCTTAGTTATATGTTTATTTAAGCCCCCTTTACATAATCAGATATATTATAGTTAACTAGTTAACTAACTAGTTAGACTAAGAAGTTTCAAGTCATCTTACATATCTATTTTATTCATTCCATACATAAGACATTTATCCCAAAAAGAGCCCTTGGTATAAGGCATGTTAATATAAACCTTAGGATAAGGAATATTATAAGGACTCAGACAGGTGACATAGAATTGAGATTGAGATTTGAAACTACGGAAATCCGCTGCCACATATCGAGAGTTGGAACGTAGGTAGCAAACACCCAGAGGTATCCATTACATGTGATTCCACCATGATGAAATTATGGGTAGTCGAGAGACTAGGGGAAGCCGTACATCCCTGGAGGATGATGATGCTAGCTCACCGGATCTCTGTTTTAATCCTAAGGTAATATGATAACCGCCCGGCAGAAATCTCTGCGTAGAGATACTACTGCCTGTCACCTTTGGCAGGTTCAACAGCAGCAACAAGCCGCAAACCTTGAAGCTATTCACACTACCTAAATAGGTAAATTTCTGGACTTGGGGAGGTGTGGATTGGCGTTTCGTTAGACCGTGGGTCCCGAGTATTTTGACTGGGTCTTGCTGGGCTTGGCGCGACCCCGGTACATGGAGTTGTACAGCGCTGTGCAGTGCTTCTCAGAGGACCGAGGATATTGACTGATTGTGAGATCAGATCGATAGCGAGATCCCCGGGCTCATAGCCTGTTTGAGTCTACAGGGGAGATGAGATATACAGTAGCATGATTGGTCAATGAATCGTATTCGGCGGAGAAAGAGCATCAGCTATAATGGAAACCGGCCATCCAGCCAGCTTCCCCCACTTTCCCAACTCTTCTGCCATTTCCACACGCTTCTGGGTATCACGAATCCAAGGGCAACCTATGCACAAAATTCATTAGAAGAAATAGCCCGAAAAGTATTCGATAGGACTTACAAAATGCAATGGGGCCAAAAGCATTGACTCAGACTGGTGCCGAGTCGCTTGAAATGGCCAGAGCACAAATTTCAGTGGCGTGGTATTCCAATTTCCGCTGTAGACATTTCATATCATTGATGCGTTGTAGAACTTTCAAGGGTTGAGTAGCAGGCTAAGCCAGCCATAGAATTCCCATAGCGGTATGGTAGTAATGGAGAGTCGACGCTTATGAGGTTAGAGGCTGAAGGGCACGTAGGACGTAGGTCTAGTATTCTCACCATGCCAGCTTCGTAGTGTCCAAATAGATGGGAAAGCACTCTGTTTTCCGAGTCCGGGAGTTTGTATCGTATCGAACGATGACGGGAGTGATGATTTCCATTTCTCTAGATCGGTCTTCATAGCTTCCCATTCGAGGGGACCCAATGCATTTGAATCGACAGACAGACATCGGTTGATAATCTTGCCGAGCAAGAATGTGACGTAGTTAGCAAAGTCCGCATCCTCTATTGGTTCTGGCGGGGCATTTTGATTGGAAAGAGTGATCATTAGACCACGTTGCTCTATGAGAGCCACCGTGATGTCTTCTCGTAGATAGTTCCAATAGCCTGCGCTGAGTAGGTCTGCTGTGAGATGAATCTGCCGACTCGCCAGCAGAGAATAGCATCCTTGCAAATGACTCTGAGAGCTAACGTTCTCTAAAGTTGATGCTAAAATGTTAGCGTCTGTCTTTTCCCGAACAAGCTTCAGGCGCTAGGAGTTTCGAAAAACTACTGACGTGCGATGATTTCATAAGATCGCAAAAGGCAAATGGCGGCAAGTGTCCCACCAAGAGGGATGCCATCAATATTTTTAGTGATGGAGATCAATCTGCGCACACTATCGTAGTGGTAGGATTCAGCAATCTCCAGATATCCGTCTTCCCCAAGCGTGCGATGTTGGTTGGCAGCAGCAAAGGCGAGAATAGCGCTAAGTAATAACGGATTATATCGAGCCCTTATGGGGACGATATCTTTGAAATGGCGCTTGTTGTCATTGTGATCGTACCATGCTGCCAAGGTTCCTATATAATGGCGGAATAACTTGGCGACTTGTTGGTCCTGTAAAGCATATTCAGGATGCTCCGTGGAAGTATGTTCGGTTCCATGGTGAGTAGCTGAGCTCAAAGGGCTCGATTGGTAGACTCGAACTCCCACAGCTGCTATTGTGCCGCCTTCTTGAATCCAATGACAGTCAGGGGCAATGCGTTGACATGGTGAACACTTGGGTCGTTTCCCGTCGCCTTGGTTATATCATAATGAGCTCGCGGCCAGTGACTGATAGCTTGTAAGAGTCAAGTATGCAAGACTAACATTTGACCCGCCGTGATCTGCATGTTTGGCTGGGTAGTCATGAATTAGTAATAGATTTCGAGGCTCTACCTAGGAGACTCCCGAGGTTATAGCGATAAAAGCGAGATAGTATGACCTAAGCGGCCTGAAAGGCTGACGATGATCGGGAATAATTCGACTGACTTACCAGCCTAGAGATGAGATAAGCCCTGGATTAATCTCAGAGACCCAACGTGACCAGGCCGGTACGGACTTACGATTGCGCTCAAGTGGCCTCGGCATTTACGTTTCGAGAGGATTTGCGGAATGTTCTGGGAACTTCGCAAAACCCACCTTCGCATTCGGCTTTTGCACCCACTTTATTACCTGGCGGTGGCAATGACATCACGTGCGCTTTAACCACCTGGGCACTATGTGGGTAGATGAGATTCCAGTGTTATGGGAACCCAATTGACTATTCCGACCGAGTCCACAAATAGCGAAAGGGCATAACGGAAGAGATATGGCAAATCACTCCTTGATCCTTTGAAAACTTCACCTCGGAATATTTGAATGTGACCGTGTTTCGTACTGCATGGTAATGGTAACTTGAAAAATACTATGTTGCACGACTGATTTGTGTATCTAATGATGTACTAGACTGTAAATTGCTAGAGTGAATACCGGGTAGCGGTACGAAAGCCACGATCATGGAATGTGAAATGTACGCCTTGCGATGAAGAACTATCTACATTGGGCAGATACTATAACCTGGGGGCAAATAGACAGGTCAAATAATCTCTCGTAAATATCTATATAAAATGCAGGTGAAATACCCACCGCATTGAAGGTACGACCTGCAAACAAAGTTGCCGACCTAAGTAATTTGATGAGTGCCTTCAAGTCCATCAGATCGTGCAGCAGCATTGGCCCAGATCGTTGCCTCAATCCTCGCGCGCTGTTCTGTCTCTACACTGGAAGAATTATCTCCAAAGACAGCATCCATTTCCTCCAAGGTTTTCCCATTCGTCTCCGGAACGAAAAACCACGTCCAAGCGAATGACAGGGCACAAAATGCACAGAAGAACACATAAGTTCCATACCCAGTGTTTTGCACGAGCGGCGGAGTGATAAGCCCAATGATGAAGTTGTTCAGCCATACCGACATTGTGGAGAACGCCATACCCTTAGCACGTAGCGAGGAAGGGAAGATCTCAGCGGGGAGAGCCCAAGGGACGGGACCCCAAGAAGCACCGTATGTCAGCATGAAGAAGCACAAGAAGGCGACGCAAACCCAGCCCTCCGTGGAATGCGCAGGCCAGTTCGATTGGTATTGGCTCATCAGGACGGCAATGATGAGATGCGCAAGAATCATGCAGCTAGCACCGCCAAAGAGCAAAGGTCTCCGGCCGAATTTATCCATTCCCCATAGTGACCAGAAACAAGCTACCATCTGGCAGATGTTGATGACGCCGGACATGTGGAGCTGCATCGTGTAGTTTAGACCCATTCCTTCGAATAGGCTGGGTGAGTAGTAGATGAGGGCATTGACACCGCCAAATTCTGGGAAGAGAATACGAGTTAGCCTCCGTGGGGAGGGAAAGCAAGGGAAAGTGGTGGTTCCACCAAATAGGAAAATACTCACGTTGGAAAAACATCAGTCCCATGCCGACATGCGTACGCTTCCAACACCCTTTGCGGAAACAGTCCAGATAGCTCCAGACATGCAGCATAGCACGGCTGGTGCATCTTCCATCTTGACAATTTGGGTGTCTCACAATGCTCACTTCGTTGCAATAGGCTACCTCAGAGCGAATCTCAACCCATTCTCGGATCACGCGCTCGTCAGTAGTGTCGAGACCGCGTAGTTTGCAGAGCACCTGGAGTGCTTCTTCATCTCGGCCTCCGCCAGCGAGCCAACGGGGTGAGTATGGTAGAAAGGGCATACCGACGCCGAGGAATATAGCAGGAATCATCTGTCCACGCGGTCAGGAAAGGACAAATCAACGATAGCGTGGAAGCCACACCTGAATGAGGAAAGGGAGGCGCCACGACCATTCATTAGGAATGTATCGTGTAGCATAGGTGATATAGAAAGCAACCACAATAGCAGTAACAATTGAAAGCTCCTGCAGAACAAGCAATGTACCCCGAATCTCCGGCGGCGCGATCTCAGAGATATACAACGGTGCGACCATAGCCAGCATGCCGACACCAATACCTCCGACAAACCGGGCACCTACCAGCATGTCGAAACTCATGGCTCCAGTCTGCAGCGCGGAACCAAAAAGGAAGATTATCACTGCCACCATGATTGACCACTTGCGAGAGATCTTGTCGGCAATCCATCCCTGATTCATTGCTCCAATGAAGGCCCCCAGCTCGATCATGGCAGTGAGGATTCCTTTTTGGAATCCTGCACCGGGTGCATCGGGCCCAACTTCGGAAATCGTGCAAGAAAGTGATCCATTGTAAGTGTTACGGAGACAACGCCTTGGTCGTAGCCGAACATTGCCCCGCCTAGTGTTGCGAAGGCGGCACATACTGCTACATACTTGTTCGTGAGGATACCCTTCAGGCCTGTTTTGTGATGGTGGATTAGTATGTGATGAGTATAGAGAAAGTGGGGGAAGGCAGTACCGGGTTCGCCATATGGTTGTCGTTCTAATCCAGGGGGAGGTATGAGAGTAGAAGGTTTGGATTTTATATCAGATTCAAGATGTTCGGTCTCTGGGGATTCTTTCTTGTCAACCATGGTCTTGGTTGAAGTCTGGCAGTAAGAAGTAGGTCTATATGCAAAATTGGCAATAATGAGGTTATATCCTGAAAAGTGCTCTTGGTATCTAATTAAGAAAACAACAATTGAGGATATCTTTAAGATATAAGGGAAAGTGTGGATGTGAACTTTCTTTCCTCCGACCTGCATACCAATCAGAACAACATCAATTACTTCAGTCGGTTTCCCCCTTTACATTGTACTATGAAGTTGATATTTAGAGTTTACACTTGACGTTGGCTCCATCGGCCGGGAGAAGATGCGGGGGAGGGGTTGCGGGGAAATCTGAATGCGGCTGCTCGCGAAAGGTTCTCGCAGAGTGAGGAGATTGCACTAATCGACGCAGAGATTGTGATGCTTACACAGCAAATTTCCGGCAAGCCGAAGGATCATCCAGAACTCGAGGCTAAACGTACAAAACTTTATAGTATAAAGGCCAATAAGCTTCAGGCCGCCACGTCATTATTCATTTCGGAATGGTGGGATGCTTCGTATGATACATATATGGCGGGGAATGAATTTGAGGAGCATGACAAGACTTATATCTTTAAGATACTAGAGAAATACCTTCCCTAGCGTGCGCGTCTTAAAGAAAACCTATTTAAAAAGGTAACCGTTAATAGTGTTATTAGCCGATAATGCCTACGAGATATGATTCACCTATATTACGATACTAAAAGGGTTGTCTACTACCCTAGGTTATGCCCTAAAAACGGCCTATATCTAATTTATAAAACGAGTATATCGAGGTAAGTGTAGTGACTTTACCGACTTACTTACACTAGCTAAATCGAATAAAGAATTATATATAGTAGCCGCGCGAAATATATACTATAGTGTCGAAGGAAAGAGCTAGGCTCTACTCCTTACTAGTAGCGATACACGAATAGTAAACGCGCTTATCGCCGGGTTTAACGGAATTTCGCTTAATTTTGTTATCTTTATACGGAATTTTACTACGACTAATAGAGCTAGATATAGTATTATAAATCGTATCTTAATCACCTTAGGCCTCGATACGGTCTCTTAATATTTCGCTATACGCTTATTGCCCCGGCTTTCTATCCTTTTTACCTCGGCGATAAAAATAAAGACCTAGATAAAAAATTTTAGTAATAGGTGAAGAAAGCCACACTTTATAATTATATAGACTCCTATCTTCGTAAGTTTAAGTCTAACTCGGCGATACTATATCCGTATCCGTTATATAATTAATAGATCTATACGGATAAAAAAAGCCTTCGAAGACACTTATATAATAGGCACTCGATTAATAAACCACGTCCTAACTACCTCGCTTATAAAAGGAAGGCGGAAGATAAGCCTAATATATTAGAGAACTTAGGTCCGGAATTTAAAATCTAGAAAATGGACACTTACGTATCGTAAACTTTAAGATATTTAATTTAGAGACTAACTTAGAATTATATCTTCTAAGGCTATACGGCGTTACTATTATTAATATAAGGGAGAAAAATATAATATAACTAGCCTTCTAAGAATATAGAAGAGATAGAATAGGCTTATATTATCTATAAAAGTAGCTTAAAACGCATTCGATAGTCTGCTTATCTAGTACTAATAATCTATATGATAATATAGCACTAGGGTATTACGCACTACAAACTGGTTATAGTTAGGGTTAGTAGATCACGGGTTATACTCACTAGGTGTCTCTAATCTTCTAACGTTAACGATCTGTCTCTCAACCGTACCGTTGCTAAATAGGCCTTACACGGGCTAAGTCCTTTTAAGGGTATCGAGGAACGATACTAGGTAGAGCGCTTAATTGATCTATACCGAGGTATTAGTCAATTAATAGGTATTATCGAGTTATAATCAAGAAAGAGATCATACTAGTAATCTAAGGGTAAACATAAGTAACAATATATAATTAAAGACGAAGAACCGAACTAGATATATAAATAAGTGTCCTTATATATCCCTAGGTTCTTCTAGTGTAGATAGGTAGATAGTAGAATAGTAGAAATACCTTAGCACTTTCTACTAAACTACTATCTACTATTCTACTACCTATATAGTTATATAATTAGGTAAATAAAGGCGGTGTGGTTTTTCCCCCTAAAAAACTATCTCCTAGGATCGGTAAGGCGGTATAGTCGGGTAAGACTTAGTTAATTAGATCTCGGCGGCCCGTCCGTATTATATATAGGGTCGCTATCGATTAGTAACTAGTATATCTATAATATCACCTCCCCCTCTCCTAGAGTTTTATCCTTAAGACTTATAAAGCCGCGATTCCCACTAGGTAGGTGGTTCCCTTTTCCTTTTCCTTAAATAATACGTCCTTATTATACCTAAACGAAAAGCTAATTCTATATCCGAACTTATCCCTAAACTCCCTTCTAATTCTACCGATACTTATTATCGTTAAGTAGTTTATATCGAGGATAATAGTTTTACCCCTACTATCGCCTATAACCACTATATAGTAGCTAGTATATCTTATCTAATAGATCGCTCTCGGTTATATTCGAAATGTACGGCGTATACCTATACGGGTCGTATATATAGGCGTGATTTCTATACTAGCTAGGAGTAGGATTTATTACGTTATACTAAGGAAAAGCTTTCCTCCGATCTTATAACAAATAAAAGTAAACTCGATTTATTAGAGCCCGAGTTAAGCGAATTATAGACTTATCTCGCTAAGCTATACTAAAAGTTATTAAATAAGTAAAAACGATATTAAGAAGCTATATCTCGTTAGCGTAGGCTAAGGAAGCGGCTAGCTTTCCTTAAGTAAAGAGGGTTTAAAATATTAGAATATAATACTAAGCTCCTTTAAATTCTTAATAAAAAATAAGCGTCTCTAAAGTAGGCTTCTTTCTCTACCCTTAACCTTAAGCGGCTCGCCGCTACTACTAAGAATCCGAACTTCGATTAGATCCTAGCGGAGTTAGCTAACCTACCGCTATCCTTCTAGAACGATCTATCCTCGCCTATTAGCGTTAGTGTCGTTAGTAGAACTATTAAACTAACCGGCGGTAGCCTATTAGGTTCTCGATAGGTTCCTATATATCTTTAGTAAGATTATACTTTATCTATCTTACTAGATAGTGAGTTTTCCTATTAATTCGTTATATATCTAGGACTTCCTCGACCTCGAATTTCTTAGGTTCCTCCGCGATATCTATATCTATAGCGACGTCGATATATTCTAGTACTAGTTCGAGTAATATAATATAAAATACTAGATAAATCTTTTATATACTATTTAGTAGTTTTAAGCGATAACTAACTAGTCCTAATTTCTTTTTAATTTAGAATAGTCCTATTTATAGGTAATCTAGTTTATTACTTAATCGCTTAGTCTTAATATTTTATTATAAAAGATAAACCTTTTCCCCTTCTTTTAGATCGGGTCCCTTCCTATAAAGGTAGTTATAGTGCTTTTTTATATATAAATTAATAAAGAATAGTAATTCCTATATTATAGAGTATATAATATTATTATACGCTAGTTATACTATAGTGTTATAGACATGCTAGTTGCTAATCGATCGAAACCCCACATATTGCACGGACGGGCCGTTCGGAACCAATCGATCAGCACTACCTAGCTGCACCGCCTCCCTAAAAGGGACAGACGTGTTTTTATACACAAAAACCCGTTTACAAGGATCACGTGACTCCCGCATCTACTCCCGAGGGGGGTATATCAGGGAGTATACGGCGACTCCAATAGTGACTCCCGCACCTACTCCTAGGGAGTATATCGGGGAGTCACCTAAGGAGTAGGAGATAGAGGATATATAAGGACACTCCCTTATATACTTAGTTTAGTTCTTCGTCTTTAATCCTATAATATTACTTATATTTACCTTCGGATTACTAGTGTGACTTCTTTCTTAATTATAACTCGATAACACCTATTAATTGACTAATAC